TGACATGCTGTCCTATTGTAAGGAAATTAATGCACTTTTGTCCTCTATTTATGCCAAGGTCCGGAGCGCGCTGCCACAGGCCGCGCAGGCGGCTCCGCACAGGATCAAGCCAGGCGACTGGGTCCTGGTGAAGGAAACGAGACGAAAGCATTGGCGGTCCAAGCGCTGGCTCGGCCCATTCCTCGTCCTCCTGGTGACGGACACTGCCGTTAAGGTCGCGGAGAGGACAACTTGGATCCACGCCAACCACTGTCGTGCGGTGCTGCCACTGAGGGCCATAGACGAGGACACCGAGGGCGCGGACGGACCAGGCCCATCCGCGGCTCCCTACGCTGCAGAGGTCGGCAGGCGTGCGACCACCGTCGGTGAAGCAGGCCAACAACAACACCCAGAGAATCCCAGCGTTGCCGAGGCAACCCCCCTTTGCCCAACTCCCCAGCCCCCGGACCCCAAAACCTGGGAGCCATGAAGGCCCTGAGCGCTCTGCTCAGCTGCAGCAAGTATGCAGAGCTGCTGCCCATTCCAAAGATTTCTCCAGAGCCTGCTCCCTCTGGCCATAATGCAAATTGGAGCTCTGCTGGAGTGCCCCCTGGTGTCTCGTCTCCCGTGTGTCCGGAGGAGGTGGAGATGAGGGCTGCTCTACAGTTCCTGATGAGGCACATGGTGAAGCGTGCTGTCATGAGGTCTCCCATCAAACGAGCTTTGGGCCTGGCCGATCTGGAGCATGCTCAAGCTTGCCGCTCCAAGACCAAACATCGCCATGACCACTAACGCTCAACACACGCTCATAGGGAGCGGTGCCACTGACTGTGTTTATTATGTTAATATTGTCTTCTCTTATCGCTGTCCGGATCCATTGTGTTATTATAATGTGCTCTTTCTTCTATTGACAAGCATGTTTCTTTTCTTGTCCACTTTGGACAGCAATAAGTTAAGTGTTTCAAGCTTGAAGGTGATGTGATTACGATGCCTCTGGTATTTAACTGATTAATGCAAAAATGGTTTTGAATTATCAAAAGAGGGGAGTGTGATGGCAAGCAATTAGCATTCATGCAACTACAGGAAGGAGCAACTCTGCCTGTTTCTATTGTGTTATGTTCTTGCCCCAGGAAGGGGCCAGGCCCCCCGACACCTACAGACAATGGCGTAAACCACTGTCTCACTCTCGCCCCCCTTTTGCCTCTTACATATCTATGGCCAAATTGTCTTGTCTGTTCACACCCCCATGCAACACACACCACAGGAGATGGCGCTGCGAGCAGGGTGAGCAGCCTGTGGCCCGCTCCCATCTGTTGTGGGCGTGACTGTCCTTCATGCATTTTCTATGTTTACAGGAGACTGGGGGCTCGGCCCCCAGAGCTAGGATATGCGACCTCTTGGTATGTGTTTGCTGCTCTCCTCACGCGCGTGTGTTTAATAAACTTACGCTTTTGATTATGACAAACATCTTTGAGTTTTTCTACTGCATTGGGGTGTTTTATTCCTCCACAGGCCGAACCTTAGAATTTTTCCCCACCGAACCGGACCCTGCGCTTACACTATGCACGCTATGCGCGCTGTGGCTGCTAATAGATCCATGCTGCTGGATTCATCCCGGAAACCAGATTCGTCCGGAAGTTCAGTTTGCAAACAGTTTGTGTTGTTATATACAGATTATATTATTGATTTGTGCTCATATGTATCAAGGTTTATTACGATAAATGGCAGGAAAAAAGCTAAGAGAAAAAAATACATCTAGTAGCCGGCAGCTAGCCCTCAGATGCGTTCAAAGGCACACGGAAATGTGGGAAACAGACATTTTATTCCGAATAATTATTTTAGAAATATAACATAGGGATACACATAACAGGTGTATGATGATTAAACAAGTAAAGGACAGTGAATCTAATCAATAATTAAACTCTCTTGTGTTAGACTAATTTCCTTGTGCCTTTGCATTTTTTCTCGAATACAGTAGCTCAGGCTGTGTGAGTGAGGAAGTGAAAATGGAACTCGTAAGCAGAAAAAGTGTTGTTTGGCAAAACTTTCAGTCCAAAGAAGGTGATGCTAGTCGAGCTACATGTCCAATTTGCAATGCCGATTTGTCTCGTGGTGGTAAGGACCCTTAACAGTACACAACATCGCCGCTGTTAAAACATTTGCGTATGAAACATTAATGGACTGAGGATGGAGTAGGATTTGGTTTCGGATTCGGCAGAATCTTAACCAGTGGATTCGGTATTCGGCCAAACCCCAAAAATCTGGATTCGGTAAATCCCTACTTACAATACATCGCTGTACTTGGTGGCATAATTGAATTTAACTCTGGTGCACTTGGGGTTCATTTTTCTTTATTTGCGGAGATGTGAAAGCAGCAAACAAGTGCACACTGCTCCCCTCTGTTGACTCAATAGGTTTTTAAACAGATTTGTGAAGTAAGGAATGTTGCGTTTGCTTCTGAAGTGCAGAGTCCACTTGACCAAAAAGTGTGAACTCGAGAGAACTATGCCACCATCTTCTTCCCCAATAACCCAATTTCAAAACTACACATAACACACTATGATAAAGCATACAAGTGCGTTTTAATATTTTTGAGAATCCTTACAGGACTTCATTATTGGTACAACATTGTGGGAGCTGCAGCTATTTCTGTCACAAAAAGTGCTGATAGTTTGTGTTGACAGAATTGAACAAGGTTGAATGGGTTACAAAGCCTTTGTATGTCCGGTCCACACACACACAGGCAGACACTATGAAAGCCTACAGCCCTGAAGTCACCCGAGCGCATCGCAGGCAGAGTGTGAATGAACCGTGGAATGTGGAAAATCACAAGAATGTCACTGGGCTGAAACAACAGAGTCAGCCTTGAACACGTCGCTGTCAAGTACAACGTGACTAAAGGGACTAAAGCTGAAAACTGGACTGAACTAAAAACCTCCAGTGTGAAGGATTAACCTAATGGAACCTAACTGGTTTAGTCTCTATAATTCAAACGACCATTTGATGTGACATGGCATTAAACAGTAATAAAGAGGTTAAAGCTGGGGTACCTAAATGATCCCAAAACATGTTTTTTCAAAAACAGAAAACTTTTGTGTTCTGATTTGTTCAACATTTAACTTTTACAACATGTTGGATTAATTTTATTAGAAAAGCTGTGACTAAGGATCTGAACCAGAGAAAATGAAGCAACAAATCTAGTCCATCATGGCCTCAAAATGCTGCCAATACAGATTTAGCATGGATCAAATTAAAGATTGAGATCTAAAAGATGAAAATGTATAAGATTCATTTTTGCTACAAAAAGACAATAATTATTAGGATTGAATTTTAACTTTAAGAAATTATCAAAAGGCGTCTGTTTATCTGATACAGAAACATAATACACACTTTTTCTAATTGTTTTCACTAAATGTTCTTTTTTCTATGGGTATACATCTGGTTTACACAAGTATGCTAAATTAATAGAACTAGTTTTGCCATGACAATATACCCAAAGTTCAATCCATCATGTTGGACACGTCTAGAGATTGCAATCTGAAGAAAGTCTTATTCTGCTAATTTCTGGTATGACAGGAATGAAAGATGTGCAACCATAAAAAGCCCACCTCAAAACGGACTGTGAAACCAGAAGATAAAGAAGATAAAGTAAAATACCAGAGACTGTCACACCCACTGACCACATCTGCACAGGACCAGAGCGAGAGCTGGACAATAATTATCTATTGCGACACAGAAAAAAAAATTGAACAAACAGTTTAATAAATCATTAAATTACCATTACAGTTTTGAAAATTAACGACATTTCTTCTCACCAACAAACTACTCTTATTAGTACTTCAACAAATCATCACAGATTTCATTACATAAATTACAGACCAAATAAAAACACAAATAGCCAATTAGTCTTTGCTTTATAGCCAGTCATATTTTAACTAAGTAGGCTGTAGGAAATATCAGATAATATCCCAATGCACAAGACCACGAGCTGTCCCCGAGTGTAATTCACCATCACTACATGGCCAGGAGGCACACACAGTCACATGGTCCTTTCAAGTCTGGCCATGCTTCTAATCTATAGGGACTGTAATAATGTGGGCCAAAACCTTATTATAACAGATCCATGGCCAGAACAAGGAAGGGATGTGTCATTTGGTACAGTACAATGTCTGAGCCGAGCATTCATTCAGTCAGTTTTTAAATAAAGGAAATCCAATCCACTTTATCCATTATCCGTTTTCAAAGTGGTGCATATATAGACCAGATAAATGCAGTCTATAGGGATCATCTTTCTAGGCATTTTAGCTTGAATATGTATTGGCATTTTACTTATTCCAGTCCTATAATCCATATTCGGAAACGACTCATTCTCTACACTGCCAACTATGAGACTGATTATAAACTATGGGCTGAATCTTTTATATACCATTGGAATTTCAGATGAGCACGAGCTGTTGGTCCAGCCCCAAGAAGTGGAATGAATGCAAAAATGAGGTGTGCCATTCCACAGATCCCATACAATGCAAAACAAGTGCAGCTACGCAACGTCGGCCGTGGGGGAGTTCCAAGTTGTCCATAAATCATTTGGGGATGGGGGGGGACACACAAGGCGCTTAAATGCAACACGTACCACGTCAAACATATGGAGTATTAATGAACAGCAATGGTACAAGGTGACGCGTTGAAGCCATTTTTACGCAGTTTGACTCCGCGTGAATTGCCATGGCTCAGAAACGCATAAAAGTCGTGGCGAATGATATGATTTGATATGAGCGAGGAGAGGAGGCAAGGGCGAGGGGGGGATGCCTTCTCGCTGTATCCGCAGTGGCTCGTGCACGTCGCCCGCGCGCACACGCACACGCACGTACACCCACAGACACATATACACACACACACAAGCGCGCGCGTCTCTACTGCTGTCAGTCCCACAGAACGCCTCGTCATGGCGCAAATGAATGGACACCAGCGATCCCGCGATACGAAAATGACATGGGAACATTACGCGCGGGTTTGACACTTACTTTGTAGAAAATGTGCTTCAGCGTGCCGTAGAACCCCATGGTCAAACCCGTAGAGGACCCAAAAAAATAATATAAAAACAACAACAGCGATCTGGAAGAAGGTTACGTCCGAATTGGAGCCAAGACGCCCGGGAATGTGGTTAGAATCCTGTGCGTAAATGTGGTCGTTGGTTTAATCCATGCGCGCGGAGTAAGGAGGGATACACGGGAACACGCTGAGACATGCCTCAAAGAGAGAGAGTCCAGAGGGAGAGGGAGGAGCGAATGGGCAGGTCTGATCAGCCACCGGATCAGGACCAAAAGTAAAGTTTCATCATGTTTATGCAACGCCCCAGCATCCAATCCAATCCAGTTTATTTATACAGCACATTTTATAAAACACGTTTTTAAAGTGCTGCACGGAGACAAAAAAGTCATACATGTAAGTATAGGAGGATTGACAGCTGTAGATGTATACAAACAATAATTAAACCAAGAACATAAAATCTCATACAATGACAATTATATTTACATAATTAAAAGTAAAAATAATAAATAAAACAAAGAGAACCACATAACTCACGCACTGTTAAAAGCCAGAAAAATCCTATGTCAGCCCAAGAGGAAGCTGGTAGCTGCTGAATATTTAAAGCTGAGGTACCCAACTTTCAAACCACACAAAAAGGAACTATGTGTCTTATTCCCCATACTCAAAACAGTTTCACATGCATTTGTGTTCCGCCTGTCACATCTCCAGACCAGATTTGTCAGACAGAAAAGTGAAAAAGTAGAGGATCACCCTCACTCAGCCCAAAGTATGCACAATATTACATGTTTTCTAACAAAAAGACAGCATGTTGTGTTCCTGTGTTAGAATAAACAACAGGTTTATATCATTTATGGTTCCTCAGATTTTAGTCAAAGTTTTTATCTTGCATTAAAAGTGATGAGAAGGACTACAAATATGGGAAACGCTGATTTCAGAGCAGTGAGTGAGATCCCCAGGAAAGCAATAACGACAATTGCTGCAGTTTCATCACAATTTCCAAACTCCAATCTGAAATTCTCCTCATTCATCAAGTCTACATGTAGTTTACAAAGTGTGACGAGGAGAGACGCTAAACTTACAATTTAAATGCAAATTGTTCCGTAAAGAAGCCATTGCGTTGTAATTAGTGCTGGTAATTGCTGATAACGTGTTAATCCCTTTATTGACAAATCAAGCTTTTCCATCTGTGACAGTTAGATAATGGGATTTAAGAACATTTCCATAAACAGGACAATGATTTACAGTACAGTTCTTTTATGTACATTTTGGAATGTTTCCGATGTGGGATAAGGAGGATTCATAAATTAAAGAACCAAATTGTATAAATCTGTGTTGAGCTCATAGTCCGTGAAATGTGCTTTAAATAAAGATTAGATACTGAAACAGAAAGTCTTGTAAAAAGTACACGAACAAATCAGACCACACTGTTCTGTCTTATCCTTTTTTAAACAATGGTACATTTAACTTTTAATAAAGAGCCCACTATTTGACAGTTTGGGTTGAAGCTGATTGGCCTAGTAAGGGTGGTCCTCTTTTTCACTTTTCGCCCTAGAAAAGATGACCAAGATGTGAGAGAGGTCAGAAACACATGCATGGTGTTTTGAGATAGTTGGATTTTATAATATTTCTGTGGTTTCAAAGTTAGACGCTCCAGCTTTAATGCGTTTCAGAGTTTGACAAAGTTAGAAAAGTTTGTAAATAATGCACTGCTCTTCTTTTTAAAAAGGACAGCAGATGGCATTTCCAAGATTATATAACTGTACAGTGTCCTGTTAAATATTGAATGAAAAGAAAAGTGAATTCTTAAGTATACCACCGACTACAGCAAAAGAGTCTTACCCTGACCACTACTTTATAAACTATTTAATCAGATGCCCAATGTGCATCAAGTATAGGACCACGAAAGTATTTTTATAAGCTTATTTAACAGATAACTAAGATTAACATACTTCATATACATCCAGATAACACATTCTTCTTATCTGCCCACCTCTAAAACATAAGCTATAAAAAACAACATTACAGGACTGCGCAAATTTGAAGACAAATCTAAGGCCCTGTTTATACTGAGACGCTGCGCAGACGTTTCCAGGCTATTAACAGAAACGACCTGGCTCCTAATGCAAATTTCTCTGCGTTCACATGAGGTTGAAAAACGATGTAGTTCTAGCGCCCGGCCAGTAGTGGGCAGATAATCTTTACAACACGACACACGACCCCCAGCCCCGTGCCCAGCCCCCCTCTCAGCAGTATACTCACTTCCTGTGCCAGACCCTCAGAACGCACAAACATCATTCTGCATTTTAACAACAGCTGTGAAAATGGAAACTGAACCTAGAGCTTCGCGTGGTCTCGTTTGGACGAACGAAGGAGCAGAATTATCCTCTGTGCCGCGCTGAAAGCCCACGTAGTTAGTTAGTGTGACCGCCGCCATTGTTGTTGATGTTTGTTCTCCGCTACTGCGCATGTCCAAATTTACGTGCGGGGAGCAGCGCGGAGGTGGGGGTCAAAGCAGAGGGGGATTTCACACCTTTTTCCCTCTGGCGGGTGTGAAAGAGCCCCCGCTGTGCAGCGTATCTGAGGCCCTGTTTATACTGAGACGCTGCGCAGACGTTTCCAGGCTATTAACAGAAACGACCTGGCTCCTAATGCAAATTTCTCAGCGTTCACATGAGGTTGAAAAACGATGTAGTTCTAGCGCCCGGCCAGTAGTGGGCAGAGAAACTTTACAACACGACACACGACCCCGAGCCCCGTGCCCAGCCCCCCTCTCGGCAGTGTACTCACTTCCAGACCCTCAGAAAGTACCAACATCATTCTGCATTTTAACAGCAGCTGTGAAAATGGGAACTGAACCTAGAGCTTCGCGTGGTCTCGTTTGGACGAACGAAGGAGTAGAGTTATCCTCTGTCCCGCGCTGGAAGTCCACGTAGCTAGTTTGTGTGGGCGGCGCCATTATTGTTGATGATTGTTCTCCGCTACTGCGCATGTCCAAATTTACGTGCGGGGAGCAGCGCGGAGGCGGGGGTCAGAGCAGAGGGGGATTTCACACCTTTTCCCTCTCGCGGGTGTGAAAGAGCCCCCCCACTGTGCAGCGTATCTGAGTTGTCCCACTCTGCAGGCTGGATCTGAACACTTACGTTTTCACCCCCCTGGAACACTGTCTTCGTATGAACGGTTGGTAGCAACCGACATCCAACTATACCGTTTTACTGCCACATTGTCTCCGTGTAAACTCACCCTGAGTTGTCCCACTCTGCAGGCTGGATCTGAACACTTACGTTTTCACCCCCCTGGAACACTGTCTTCGTGTGAACGGTTGGTAGAAACCGACATCCAACTATACCGTTTTACTGCCACATTGTCTACGTGTAAACTCAGCCTAATTGTGATCATGATTTGATTTGAGACTTTTGTTGTGAAGCTCGGTCAGGATAATGTTCAGGTTTTGTTTTTCTCAGTGCACTTTAAAAGTTGCTTTAACCTGGAAAATCTATCTTGGAAACCACAGAACATTAACTCTAATATAATCACTGATCCTCGCTCACAAAACTTTGGTTCTATCACTGGATTTCACATGCATGTATTTTTAGCCTCCATCACAGCTTCAGATCAGCTTTTTGCCAGACAGAAAAGTAAAGAGGAAACGGCTCCATATGTAGAAGACAAGACGTCCCAATCCCTCTGTTGGGACAAACAAAATGTATACATGAAATGAAAATAAAAGTTGGTACTACACCATTAATCTAAATTGGTTTACATTTAATTACAAGTTCTCATTTAAAATCCCACTATGCTTTAAACTATAAGTCTATCTACAAAGTTACAAAGTAAGATAAGCACAGATTTGCCTTTTCCATAAGCAGATAAAGCAGTCCAAGAGAGATACTACCCAATTTAAACTGTTCGAGCCCATGTGAGATTTGCCATGATCTTTGCATTTATAATCCTGAGATCTAAACACAGGGATAACCAGATTTACTAAATAAACTCAGATAATTTGGTTCTTATTAAGAAAATAATGTAAATCAAAATAACAGCAGTCTTTGCGTTTTGCTAATTGAAGCCACTGAAATTGTGTTTGAGCCCTAAATGACCGCAAGAAAAACATTTATACCCAAATAATTAACGTTTCTAATAATTCAACTTTGAAGGATGGAGTTAGATCTTCCCTTTTTTTGCTTATATCCAGATAAAAATCCACATCCTGCAGCCGCAACCATCCTTCAAAAGCAGCGGAGGAGCCAGAACAGCTGATGGCAGATAATGCACTTGTGGTCGTGTGGGAAGAGTGACTTTTGACTTTTTTCTTTAACCCCCAGAGTTCAGAGCTCGGGGGTTAAACAGCTGAGAAATCCTGAAGAGAAACTGTGAAACTGCCCCCGATGTGAAATAATGCTGACCAGTGGGTTTAGAGCATGGATCTATTAGAGCAAAGGGAAAAGCGTTTGTGTTATTTACAAATAGTGGTTAATCCTCTCCAAATAACAATGTTTTGCCTCTAAATTGAAATCTGACTTAATCCAGAAATAACCCGATAACAACTATTTTCTTGGACAGTTAAAGCATCTAATAATAGCAGAAAACTCCACTCAGAAAGGACCTTGTTGCTGAGAAGCGATAGTGCTAACCACTCAGCCACAGTGCCGCCCAAAATAGTTTGGTTCCCTCATTAGTTTTCCCAATACATGTCAATTTGGCCACCCGTCACATTACTCATTGACTGCCAGCCCATTTCAGAACAGGTACTTCCATATTGCCAGCCGTTTCTGATTGTTTTTTACTAATTTTTAAAAGACCCACAGAATATTGTGTACTATGACGACATCAGATTCTAAAAGAATGGACTGTCTACTTTCATCAGCAAAAAGAATTTTGTTTCTAGCTTGTTTCGTTCCCCTGTAATCCTCCGTTGAGTAGAGGGAAGTTGAAATCACCAGAAAGTTGAGAAAAAAGAGGCACAACATGTGCACCTAACTGTTTTCAAACCATTCAGAGAGCAATGCTGCCACCTGCTGGCTCGATAAAATATGGTCTCAAGTCATCCCCTTGAGATACATATTAGATACAATATACGTCTGGGAACGTGAAAATAGCGGGAAAGACAACGTTACTATTTACTTTGACGTATTTGTGCGTCAATGGCACACAATGAGTTTAAAACGCTTTTCAAAAAACAGACCAGCCAATCAGCTCTCAACTCAAAACGTCAAATAGTGACTCACAGGACTCTTACAAGCATGCAAAAGATCAAAAGACAGAGTATTGTGGTCTGATTGGTCTTGGGACAATCAACAAGTATTATTTATGAGAAAAACCCTGGCTTTAAAACATTTCACAAATACTTTAGCATTATTGCAGATAGTATTATAGGCAGTTGCACAAACATACGCTCACAATACTTGTAGTTTAGCCTGTGATACTTGAATAATTTTAGTAACTGACAAAAGTCGTTCCCATGACTACCATGAATTAAAAAGGAAATGACAGATTAAAGGGAAAGGAGCAGAGAAAATAGAATTGGAAATAGTGCTACAGTATTAGGAGATCCGACTGTAGCAGATTTACAGATTAACAAGAATGAGTGAAAGGGGATAAGATGAAAGCTGTTTACAAAAGATACATGGTATGATTTCTATTCAGCAAAGCCCATTTATGTTTTGCAGAAGATTCAGCACAATTTGAAAAGGTGAAAGTGTATCCATATTTCATGACTAAAATGATTGTTACAAATGCTTTTCTTTGTAACATATTCGTATGATAAACAATCTATGAAAATGAATGTCCAGAAGAACGGCTCGGTCTGACCTGGAGATATTCAAATCGTATCAGCCCTAAATAGATACAGTCTGTACAGTAGTGTGACGGAGTCATTGCTCTCCCCCTGTCACTAATGCTCTGGTTGTGCGCGCACTCTGGCCATACTTCCCGGTGCGAGACGCGCGCTCCCGCGCAGAGTTTTACACACCACAATTAAGCATGTTGTACTCACCGGTCCCGCTACGTAATCGCAGGTCTCCACACATCCCCTTGTTTCTCCCCTCCATAAACCACACGGTAGCAGCATCCATGGCTCGCTGCAGCTCGGGGTGCACACCGGGTTCGCGCGCGCGCCTGTTCATGCTCTCCTCCTTCCGCGTACGTAGTACCAGGTGACCGGGCAAACCGAGCGCATCTTTGGCTATGCCATTTATACTGGGGTTAAGTGCGCTTTCACGCTTGGTTTGTTTAATATTCCTTTGTTTAATGATATCTCCCATATCCATGGAAGGGAATTAAAGGGGAGGTATGTTGAAATAATAGTATTGATAATTTGAGGAGTTTCTACCAGAAAGGGTTGTTTTGTAAAATTATATTAACTATTTTGTGTAACGCCCATGGGAGGGGCCTGGGGCATAAGAGGGGAGCTGTTTGGGCTGTACAGGGAGTCTTTTGCCTGGTTGCAGAGAGGGCAACATCCGGCTATTGTGGTATCCTGGCATTCTGAAAGGTTATGTACACAACTTATGTACATTTGTAAATATGTACATATATTGTTTTTTCACATGTTTGTAAATAGCACTGGGGAAATAAACTGGAGAAACAGTTTTTTTGACTGGCCATTGGTTTTTTGAGAAGTGTTCCCACAACATTTGGTGTCAGAAGTGGGATGGCCAGTCGAAAGTTGGCCCATTTCCCAGGCAAGCGAACTGGACTGCGTTCGCAGAAGACTAAAATGTCCCTTCCAAAAGAGGAAGATGTTAACCTGTCTTGGGATACAGACGAGGAGGATTGTAGTCCTGGTCCCTCTACTCGAGGCCAGCCAGTGCCCGCAGGAGTGGGTGAGGAACTATTGGACGTTATGCGCAGCTTCCTACAAGGTCAACAGAGGAGGGAGGAAACCATGATGGCCGAACTCCAAGGGCTGAGGTCTTCACTGTCTGAGCGCAGACCGGAGCCTCCCTCTGCATCATCTTCAACTTGGACCGCCGTTAGCCCTCGTATAGACCTTCCTACCCCAGCACCAAGGCAGCGGCCACCCAGTTTTTCTCCAACGGACCGGAGGCCAAGTGGGGATGGCGGCCAGTCACGGCGCCAAGACGCTCGATCCTACGGGGACCCCAAGATCCCTCCCTATCAATCCGGTGAGGATATTGAGAATTATTTACTACGTTTTGAGCGCATTGCAAGGACTTGGGCCTGGCCAGATGATGAGTGGGCGTGTCGGCTGGTGCCATTGTTATCCGGGAAGGCATTGGAGGCCTACTCGGCAATGGATGAGGACAGTGCACACTCCTATCCGGATCTAAAGGAGGCACTCCTCGCAAAGTTTGACATTTCACCCGAAACGTACCGCCGGCAATTCAGATCCACCACTGTTCCGCCTGGTGAAAATCCGGCAGAAACGTACCACCGGTTAAAGGGTCTGTATCGTCGTTGGATCCGACCGGAGGAGCACACCAAGGAGGAGATTGGAGACGCCATCATCCTGGAGCAGTTTCTACGCGTCCTCCCAGGCGATATCCGAACCTGGGTAATGGAGCATGAGCCGAAGGAGGGGCTAGCGGCTGCCAAACTGACCCAGCAGTACATCAACGCCAGGAAAGGAGCACGTCAACCAACTCCACCACCAAGGTTTCCACGCCGCGAGGGTCCAACGGTGACAGCAGGTAACCCGAGTCCGGCCGGCATACATCAAGGAACTGGTAAGGAGCTGATTTGTTTTTATTGCCAGCAGCTGGGCCATAAAGCATCTTTATGTCCCATTCGTAAGGCTAAGTTGTCTGGGGCATGCTATGTTCCACGGTCTGAGAAACAGAATGCGACAGTGGTAAAGCGCTACAAAACAGTAACGGTTAATGGACAAACAATTGAAGCATTGTTGGATAGCGGCAGTTCTATGTCTCTAGTCCGTGAAGAGTTTGTTCCTGTTAATGCTTTGGAATATGGCAAGTGTGAGGACATTATTTGTGTTCATGGGGACAAGCACCCTTACCCTACTGCGGAGCTAACGGTAGCTATTGATGGACAGACTTACTTATTGACAGTCGGAGTTGTGGCCAGTCTCCCCGTTCCGGCCCTACTAGGCTGTGACTTGCCCATTCTTCTGGACTTATTGATGGACAATGATAACACAACCAGTGTCAAAAAGACTTTGTCATGCCCTGTGGTCACGAGGGCCCAGGCTCAAACAAAAGCACAATCACCCACTGGCCTTGACCATGGTCTGCAGGTGGTTGATGCGCTAAAGCCACAGAACCAGTGCTCAGATGCTCAGCCTTTTGCTAGTTTTGAGGACAGTGTTTTTGAGGGAGGTACAAAGGGGCCTAAAAAGTCAAGGCGTCAGCGTCGGTTTGAAAAGCGGCTGGTAGCTAAGCAGCCAGATAAGGACACTGTGCACAAGGACTTATGGGAAATACCGGGTAACATTTCTGATCTGCAAAAAATGACTGTACTCTTAAATCTGTGTTTGCTAAAGTAGGAAAGCTACCGGTGTGTGACATTAAAGCAGGCTTTGTTAGTGATAATGATGTTTTGTACAATCTTGAGAATGGGGTAAAACGTTTGGTTGTACCGCAAATCTGTCGGCCTGTTGTGATGCACCTTGGTCATACATTGCCGTGGGCCGGTCATCTGGGACGAAACAAAACTTATCTGCGCATCAGCTCTCGGTTCTTTTGGCCTTCTATGTATACAGACGTACAGAAGTTCTGTTCCACCTGTCCCGTTTGTCAAAAAAGTTGTTCCGTTCGTAAATGCGACCGTGCGTTCCTTCAACCGCTCCCTGTCATATCCACTCCGTTTCGTCGAGTTGCTATGGACATTGTAGGACCGTTGGTTAAGAGTAGCACGGGGTGTCAGTATATTCTGGTTCTTTCCGACTATGCGACCCGTTTTCCGGAAGCGTTTCCGTTACGTACTATTACTACCCCGGCGGTTCTGCGCGCTCTGGTGCAGTTCTTTTCGAGAGTAGGCCTACCTGATGAGATTTTAACTGACCAGGGAACCAATTTTACATCACGTCTTATGCATCTGTTCCACCAGCAGCTTGGAATCTCTGCCATTAAGACGACGCCCTACCATCCCCAAACAGATGGCCTGGTTGAGCGCTTTAACCAGACGCTTAAAAAGATGTTGCGGAAGTTTGTCGCTGATACGGGCAAGGACTGGGACCGGTGGTTGCCATTTCTGCTCTTCGCCTACCGCGAGGTTCCCCAGGCATCTACAGGCTTTTCGCCATTCGAGCTACTTTATGGCTGGGATGTCCAGGGTCCACTGGATTTACTTCGTAAGGAATGGGAGAGTCCTGCCAAGTCTGCCAGTGACCAGAGTATCGTGCAATATGTGCTGGAGATGAGGGAACGGCTGGTGAAATACCAGGAGGAAGCAACCCACAACCTCACTGAGGCCCAGAGAAGCCAGAAGACCTGGTACGACCAACAGGCAAGGCATCGTGAGTTTCACCCGGGCCAAAGGGTTCTTCTTCTCCTTCCCTCGTCTAATAGCAAGTTGCTGGCCAAGTGGCAAGGGCCCTATACTATCATCCGCAAAATGGGCCCAGTAACGTACGAGGTTCACCATCCGGACAAAAAGAAGGTGAAGCAGACATATCATGTAAACCTTCTCAAGGAATGGAAAGAACGGGAGGGCCCTGTCGCGTCGCTTCTTGTGCAGCATGTCCGAGTACCAGATGGGGAAGAAGAGGACATTGGAGCGGAAGAACTGCCGCAAGCCGCAGAGCCAGTACTGGCTCATCTCACCAGAGTCCAAGCTGTGCAACTACTCCGTGTGTTCGACAACGTCCCCTCTCTGTTCGCTGCCAACCCGGGGAAGACGACTCTGGTGGAGCATGTCATTCGGCTAAAGGAGGGCCGCCCGATCCGACAGAGGGCATACAGAGTTCCCCAACACCTGGTGGAGAAGCTCAAGAAGGAAGTAGAGGAGATGCAGAAGCTGGGCGTCATCGAACCCTCAAATTCAGAGTGGTGCAGTCCCGTGGTGATCGTCCTAAAGAAAGATGGCTCCCTACGCATTTGTATAGACTTTCGAAAAATCAATGCAGTGTCGGAGTTTGACGCTTACCCAATGCCTCGAATTGACGAACTCCTGGAGAGGATTGGACGAGCCCAATACATCACAACACTAGACCTATGCAAAGGGTACTGGCAGGTTCCGTTGGAGAAGTCAAGCCGGCCCTACACTGCATTCCAGACCCCCGCCGGGCTGTTCCAATTTACTGTGATGCCCTTTGGTTTACACGGTGCCCCAGCGACCTTCCAGCGGCTTATGGACCGGGTTCTACAGGGTTGTAGCCACTGCAGTGCTGCCTATTTGGACGATGTCGTGGTATACAGCAACAGCTGGGAAGACCACCTCAAACATCTTGCGCTGGTCCTGGGGAAAATCCAGAGAGCTGGGTTGACATTAAATCCATCCAAGTGCGAGTGGGCAAGAGAAGAGACCCAATACCTTGGATATCGACTTGGCCGAGGCGAGGTGCGTCCTCAAGTTGACAAGGTGGAAGCCGTTCGAAATTGCCCGCGACCACGAACGGAAAAAGAAGTGCGGTCCTTTCTGGGCCTGGCAGGCTGGTACCGGCGCTTTGTCCCTCAGTTTGCCACCCTTGCCGCACCTTTGACCGCGCTGACTGCGAAAGAACAGAGGAATCCCGTAGTCTGGTCCAAAGCCTGTGAAGAGGCATTTCAAACCCTCAAGGCTTGCCTCTGTTCCTCTCCGGTCCTCAAGAGTCCCGACTTCACCCGCCGCTTCCTAGTCCAGGTTGATGCGTCAGCGGTTGGACTCGGAGCGGTTCTGGCCCAAGGAGAACCTGGGGAAGAGCAGCCGGTGCTCTACCTGAGCCGAAAACTTTTGCCCAGAGAAACCCGTTACTCCACGGTGGAAAAAGAAGGACTGGCAATCAAATGGGCCTTAGAAAGCCTTCGATACTACCTGTTGGGCAGAGTTTTTGATCTGGAGACAGACCACAGAGCGTTGTCCTGGATCCACACTATGAAGGACCAAAACTGTCGGATTACACGTTGGTACCTGTCCTTGCAGCCTTTCCAGTTCACAGTCCGGCATAGAGCAGGGAAGTCCAACGTGGTAGCTGATTTCCTTTCAAGGTTGCCGCACATCGCCAACCTCGGAGAGGGGGGAAGTAATGTGACGGAGTCATTGCTCTCCCCCTGTCACTAATGCTCTGGTTGTGCGCGCACTCTGGCCATACTTCCCGGTGCGAGACGCGCGCTCCCGCGCAGAGTTTTACACACCACAATTAAGCATGTTGTACTCACCGGTCCCGCTACGTAATCGCAGGTCTCCACACATCCCCTTGTTTCTCCCCTCCATAAACCACACGGTAGCAGCATCCATGGCTCGCTGCAGCTCGGGGTGCACACCGGGTTCGCGCGCGCGCCTGTTCATGCTCTCCTCCTTCCGCGTACGTAGTACCAGGTGACCGGGCAAACCGAGCGCATCTTTGGCTATGCCATTTATACTGGGGTTAAGTGCGCTTTCACGCTTGGTTTGTTTAATATTCCTTTGTTTAATGATATCTCCCATATCCATGGAAGGGAATTAAAGGGGAGGTATGTTGAAATAATAGTATTGATAATTTGAGAGGAGTTTCTACCAGAAAGGGTTGTTTTGTAAAATTATATTAACTATTTTGTGTAACGCCCATGGGAGGGGCCTGGGGCATAAGAGGGGAGCTGTTTGGGCTGTACAGGGAGTCTTTTGCCTGGTTGCAGAGAGGGCAACATCCGGCTATTGTGGTATCCTGGCATTCTGAAAGGTTATGTACACAACTTATGTACATTTGTAAATATGTACATATATTGTTTTTTCACATGTTTGTAAATAGCACTGGGGAAATAAACTGGAGAAACAGTTTTTTTGACTGGCCATTGGTTTTTTGAGAAGTGTTCCCACAACAAGTAGCTAACCTCCATGGTTTTTTGTCGCCAGGAAACCAGCTCACATAACTTTGAACATCAGACTCAAAAGAAACCCTATGTTAACAATATGCCAATTCCTTCTATTGCGGAAAAAGCCTGGGAAAATAGGTCAGTGCATTAGTAGAGAAATAGAGAAACTACTTTGTATGTTGCAAAAGTATCAGTCAGACTTTGCCGGCATCACATGTTTAGTGTAAACAATGGATGGACTCTAAACAGAAACCAGCTCGAGGTCAGGATTGCCCTATAGTGGACTAAATAAAGACTAAACTAGGAAAGTAAAGAGACACACTGAGGGAGTGTTCACATCCGAGTTCACCATTATTGGACCAATTCTGATTATCTTGGGCACTTCAAGTTTACACTGGTCAAGTTGTCAGTTACTCCAGTGTGAGCCAGCGCCCCCACATCCAGCTTCAACCATTTTAGCAACTTTCAAACCACTTGTCTTGGCTGCACCCCTCTCCCCGCTTCGAACTCTCTTCAGTCCTCATTATAGGATCTATAGCCTGTCTGTTCGTTGGAGCAGATCTCTCCCTCAATATGGGCCTTCCCGAAGATTCTCACCGAGTCATTCCTTGCCGATGCAGGAGGGTATAAAGGTTATTTATGGACATTGGTCATGTGCCCCATTTGAACCAATGGCTTCTATGTGTTTGTCATTGTTGCATTTTCTGTGTTTGAGTTGCTTGATTCTCCCATTTTTAGCAAATCAACAACTTTGAGACTATTGTGGGTTAATTGCTGTCCAATAATTAAATAAATTAACAAAAAACATTTCAACGCACCCTTGACTTGGACATTCACTCTCAGGCCTGAACAATATTATGGCGTTCAAATGCGTCCTATCGCCTTCTACTGGTGGCAGTGGGAACGCAAGCTTTATCAAACTTGTTCAAACTTCAAGACATGATTTGGATGCAGACGGCTCCAATGCTCAGAGAGAAATAGCAGACAATACATGGGTCAAGAAACTAAAACGGTTCAGTCTATGACGTAACCCAGATCTTGAGAGGCCTGGATGAGGAAGGAGTCCAAAAACGGTGCAGGTGAAACAAAAAGATCTTGTGTTGGTGATAATGGTTTTGATGAAAATATAAAATAAGTTTTCCAATATTTTTATAATATTTACACAGATGTTCATTAATGCACATTGTCCCAAACAAATAAAATGATAAATACAAAATAAAATGTATTACATCAGTTGAATTCAATTTTATACAAGCAGATGTTGACTCTTTTTATAACTTAAAAATTATCCGATTAACCGGACATCAAAGCTATATTTTTTCTCATGTGGCACATTTTTTTTCCCAAATAGAAATGTTATAATAGTAATGAGATGAGATCGACTTTATTGAGCTCATACTGGAGAAATTTACATGACACATTTGGCATGGTTAGAGAAAGGACCATCACTGTTTCTTTGGCCAAGACACTTCACTCACACCATTTTAGAAAAGGTGGTATTTGAGTGAGTGATGGTTGGAGAAGCCATTGGCACAGAAAAGCAGCCAGTTGTGCAGATCCATCTCCGTGCCCTCGTAAACCACAGTGCATTAGACAAGCAGCCGGTTTCCCACACTGTTTGTAAACCACAAGAGGCCCAGAGATCCTTTTAAAACAAGCCGAAGATAAGAATGACTTCAGACAGATCAAAGACGCACATGTGAGGCAGAGGAGATTTGACAGAATGCATGTCCAAGAACTATGCACAAAGGATTGATCTAAAGCAGCACAGAACCTCAGGAGTAAATGTACGGATGCGAGAAGATAGATTTTAGAGTGTTTTTAAAGTCTTTACAAAAACAATCCAACGTTGGTTGCCAGATTCTTTCGGTTTGTGACACATGCGGCTACTAACCACTGACTACAGATGCAATCCACCTGCTGTAGTTGAACTAGAGTCAAAACAAACTATATTCTGTCTGACTACTCCCCGCTTCCTTTTAAATAAATGTGTGCTGCTGTTTGTAGTGTTCATAAAAATTATGAACAAAAGTTTAAGATGTAGAGGTCATTTAAAGGTAAAATATTACATCCATCAACTTAAATATTAGTATTTGTAGGTCTGTGCAGTGACGCCCATAGATTAGATATTCACATTCAATTTGAAAATGTAATGTGAAAGTTGTGTAATAGATGAAAAGTCATTTAACTTAGTTATCAGGGAAAATTACCATAAATATTTGTGCCAAAATGTCGGAACAGTTAAAAATGGCCTGATGATATTTTTGCTATACTCAAACATGTTTGAAAACACTTAGCTTCAATGAGAAAATGAGAGAGAAAACAAGCACAACGTGGCAGAAACCTCTTAAATCCAAATAGCCTTTTTAAGACAATTGTGGTTAGTTTATGGTGAAATTAAATCCTCAGTTTGCTGCGTCGGTGGCTGTCGGAGAGCTGCTTTAATATTGTATGAGGGAGTGGGATGTTAGCAACTTTAGCCTCATGACTTTTTAACAAGGTTCAGGGATTAAATACAGCGATAAAACACAACAACGACAACTGTGGCGGGAATCATGGAATTAAAGTTACAGATAAAATAACTTCACTTCCAGGTCCAGGGAAACGCAAAGATGACCGCCCGTCTACTGAATTATTCATTACATAACGCCACTGCATTTTCTACAATACGTCTCTCTCCCCTCCTTTTTTAACATTTTTTTTTTTTTTTACTGATAACCTGTCTACTTTGTCATTCCATCAGATAAATACAATAAAATAATGGTAAATTTAGGTTTTTTCACAATTTTTCAGATGTATTTTTGGCCTCAGTTATATTTTTGTATCAGTTTTTTCAGACAGTACAACAACTGAATGAGAATAGTCTTCTCTTTTTAACTTTTTGAAGTCCAAGACAAATTTTCCTCAAGGGACAATAAAGTGTATTCTATTCTATTCAAACTCGAGCCCAAAGCATCACGAGGCTATTTCTTATAAGTATGCAAAAGATAACAGTTTCATAATAAGATTGAGACAGAAGCAACATTGAACATTTTCTTATTGCTTTAAATAATTCAATATGGGTTCTAATAATGAAACAACAGTGGCCATGGACAGGTGACCGGGTTTCTCTCTGGGAGCAGGAGTGAAACAGGGCTTTAGGTCGTGGACAGAGAAGAGAGTGCTGCATAAAGACAAACGATGGTCTGCTGTGAAAACACGAAGGTGACGAGAAACCGCAGAGTTCACAGCTTCTGCAGGAGTCACTTTCACAATAAAAGCCCAGAGGAATGTTAGGGTCAAAGCCCATCACACCAGGGAAGGGCAGCAGCTAAAACTGAAACCAAACTTCTCAATCTTAATTATTGACGAGACTAGAGATTGACCAAAATGGACGCCCAGATGGAGGCCGAGTGCGACTGGTCAATGGCATTTTTGTATTCTCCTGGCAGAAAATAAGGTTTGGTACTCTGGCTTTAATAATTCAAACATTTGTGCTTCGTTTCCAAAGATCTTTTTGACAATACAATATTAGGTCATTAATATTATTCTCCAAGCAAAATTATTATGGTTTTGTAACACAACTTCAAATAGAGGAAATACATTGTCTCACTAAAGGCCAGATGCAAATATTAACACTTCATACAAAAGTTAATCCATTACACAGATGTCAGGAGCCACCTCAACTGACTCCTCTTGACGTGGAGAAGCAGCGGCTCCACTCCGAACTCCTCACCCTATCTCTAAAGGGACCACTTAGCCACTCTGTAGCGGAAACTCACGTGGGCCACTTGTATCTGCATTCTTGTCCATTCGCTTATTACCCAAAGCTCATGACCGGAGGTGGCGGTGGGAAAACGCAGATTGACCAGAGTGTTGGCGTTCCACTCGGCTCCCTCTTTTTACCGCGACATTCTTCCAATTCTTTACGGCACATTTTTTGCGTGCATCACATTGATCTGATTTACAGCTCATTGTGCAATTAATTTAACTGTCCGTGTCTCTGCAGTGAAATCTGCTCTTCCACAACTCATGACTCCGGGCCAGGAATAACTCCCCGACCTTCAAACTCTCATTTAATACGTCTGTTGAACAATTATATATACGTTTGTGCTGTGTCAGGTGGCATTAGCATGACCTCCTAACCTGGGAGATTTCAAAGAAGACAATGTATTTTTCTCTGCTACATATTCTATGACACCAGAGGATTATTTGTATCGAGATGATTCAGATTAATTTTTTTGCCATTTGCAGTAAAACCCCATTGGATTACATCGGCAAAAGTCCCCAGTGGGCACAATACTGTAAGTACATAAATAATTCATATAAAACCACTTTTGGTATTGGCAGACAATACTGGGACGGTCCGATCAAAGGGATTCTGAATAATGAATTATACAAATTATAGATGCAAGTATCTCCCACTGCAATTCCAACACAAGTTTTTGACATGGCAACCTCCCTACGAGATCCCTAATAATCCTAGTATGTGCGTAATCTCATGTATGTGGTAATAATCTACAGCAATAACAGCAGATTAGCAAAAGGATTAGTGACCCATTTTAACGGAGGGGAATCAAACATGTCCAGGATTGAGAGGGCTTGGACAGAGGAGGAAGAGCGCAGAGCCGTCACTATGACAACTACTGAAATGTCAATATCAAAACGTTAACATTGAAAACACTTTTGCAACTGACAAAAAATCTTCTTTCTTTGAATCTTCTTAAAATAATAATGTAATTGCATCAAATGAGCTGTGATTTACAATACTCTTCCCCCTCCACAGGCCCCCATTAGTTTCACTGTACTACATGATGTCGCCTTCAGCCTGGGTTCATTAGTGGATGGGCATGTACCGTCAAAAACATACATGCACAGCGTTTGAAGTCCTCCGTTTCCACTATACAAGAGCACGGTTTATACTTACACTCGCCATCAGATGTAGTAATGCCTAGCTCCTCCGCTCCTTCAGTTCATGTCTGCTTTTTATATTTTCTCTTTCTTCTGCAGCTGTTGTTTGTTTCGCTATTAAAAAGGAAACAAACCACAGACGTTGAGGACCCTGAAGGCCTCGTGCACAGACACTGCCGCCTCCTCTGGGCCTTGAACTCGCCACAAAACACGTGAAACTGAGGACACGTCCGAATGAATAACAAATGCCTCTTTTCTTTTTCATCCTCGTTCTTTGGAGTTGACTTTTTAGGAGTTCCTCGGTTTTCGGGGAAGTGACATTTAAGGCCTTATAAAAGAAGTGAACACCACTTATGTGAAATGTGCCGCCACCAAGGTTAATGAAATGGAGGAGTAAAGCAAAGGAGGATAAGAAAGGAGCTATTTCTCATTCAGGGACAAGAGTAATCAATGAGCAGAGAGTAAAGTGGGAATGTCGCCACCTACTGGGCATTGTGTTGACATTTTCTCAAAATAAAGTCAAAAGAAATATGAAACTTATACTCTGGTCTCAATCAGTGTTGACTCAGACTCGAGGTTTGTTCAGATTCATATCTTCATTTACCTTTCCACCCATGCAATTTATGGAAATGTTACTATTTTGGGTAAAAAGAAAGTAATTTATATTTTGTTGCATGAGAAATATGAGCCAAATTTACAAGAATAGAAATGCCATTTTAGTCAATTCTAAAGATGTAAAGGCCTTAAAATTGGCCACATCAAAGTCTATGCGTTTTCAAGGTACCTGGTGCTACCCTTAATATGTATATTATATTCTTGGCAAGACTACCCTAGAATTTTTTTAAAGAAACATCTGTTCTCTTTATTGAGGGTTGTTGAGATAGTGAGGACAAACTTGTTTAAAATGCATTCTAGTAATGGATTATTAGTTCATTTTCCTCTCAGTCTTGTGTCAAAGTTAAATGCTTCTGAAGTTGTGCACTGAACTGCGTGTATCGGCAAATTTGACTTTCCCCTTACCTGACTCTGTGGTGATGTCTCATCAGTGTTCCCGCCCTCATCCTTATTTCCTGCCTTCCGATTGGTCAGCTCCTGCTCATCCGTCCCCATCATATCAGCACCATCTGTTTTGGACTCCGCACTTTCCGATTTCGCATGGCTATTAGTCACATCCTGCTCAGTCGTTCTGTCATTTGCACATTCATTATCTTCTGATACGCTCTCGGTATTGGCCGATTCCCCTATCGTTTCTGTTCTTTGATTGCTTACTTCATCATTGTCTGTATTTTGATTAGTGGCTCGGTCCATATCTTTTCCAATACTGTCTAATTTCTGTGTATGCTCAGTTGTATCTCTTCTCTCATTTGTCAATTCCTGGTTTTGTCCGTGTATGAACGGCTCTGAGTGACACGATTCTTCTTCTACCGTGACAATGCCCACGCTCTCTTCTTCATCATCCAGTTCTTCATCATCATTTGAACTTTTTCCACGTTGAGACAGTGACGTTAAAAAGGGAGAAGAGCTGACGGAGGAGGAGGCAGAGTTTGGCGTGTTTCCACCAATAAGATCTCGACGGCTTTTCAATGCCTGGTCCCACTGGTCCCTGCTCAGCGTGTCTTCTTCCAAAACACGATCCACCGATTCAGGGTTCATATTTCTTGTTTACAGGTGACTTGTCCTCGTCAAAGGCTTTATTCAGACTAGGAACATCCTGAAAGGAAATGGAAACATGGTTTGAAATGGTGCTGTAACTGATTGCCATTACTTTTGATTAATCAAGTAATCCCTTTTTACTCTTATACATTGCATGACTCTTCAATCATAAATGTGGTCATTCAGCTGCTCCTATCAAAATTAACAGAGTAAAGGGGGAAACCAGAATTAGCATATTGTATTGAGTTAGCAACAATTTTGATATTGTTTGATCACTTAAATCCGGGTTCCATGCCTTTGTGGATACATACATTATTTTTTAAATCACTCGTTTCTTTTGGTCAAGGCTGAATGAGAAACATTTATCCCTCATGTGATATAACTAAAGAAAATAAAGTTGCCAAAATAAAATTATTTGTACTTGGTTACCATTCTTTCATTTAGGAATGAACCGTATTTGAACAAACTATTTGTACTGTGTTTCATAACCTCAGAATTATTCGAAGGCTGAAAGCTTTCTGGAAAAAGGCAATGGCATGACAAAACTAAAAAGCAATTTGAAGCCTAATGATATAGCTTAGCTAAATGAAAAGACCAGGCCCACAAGCGCATGTAATAAGTTTTAGTTTTTTAGCTTCTCTTAAAACTATTATGATCAGTATAAATGGAACGATGTGTCTTGTGACCGATCCATGCTTGTGACGTGTGTGCTCTGACGACGAGTTAACAGAAGGCTAGTTTGTTAGCCGCTCTGTGTTAACACCATGGATCTATTGGTTTACATTTCCAAAATATCGTCATTGAAATAAAGGGGTCTCTTGGTGTAAAGAACATTGAAATACGATTGTACACAAATTTTTTTACTAAATAGTCATACATTGGGGCATTTTAGAACTTTGCTGAACAGAAATACTGAAATGATAATGATGAAAAGTAAGATGATTTGTTTGATTGTGTCACATAAATACTGAGCCGTGTATCCTGCTGCTTTACTTCCACGTTTAGATCCACGTTTACACATATCCTAAATGTTTGAGTTTATTCAGCTCTTCTTTACAGATGGCAGATAAAAACGTGTCCCTGGTTTTGCCCCCAGTCGAGCTGTAATCAATCCAGGAGTCTGGACACACTCACCTTTTAAATCAGGACTTTAAAATTTAAAAACACCGACCACTTCCGTCTACTTTGCTTCCGATATTGGAAAAAATATATACATAAAATAAATAAAAACCCCTCGCTTCCTAAACTCAACGATAAAGTCTATGAATTAGCAGTGTTTTGTCCTGTTCGACTACGATAAAAGTTCACAAACTTCTTTTCCCGTCGCACATGGAGCCGTATGTTTGGTGCGTTTTGATGACGTCTTGAGTGGTTGCCAGGTCCACTAAAATATTGTCTCCTCTATTTCTTTCAATTCAATCACTGTTGTTGTCTTTTATTTGTTTCGAGAGTCTCGAGGCATAGTATGACACTTATTATCATTAGCCCATACTGAACACAGTTAAGGTTGACATGCTTGTATCAGTCAGTGACTTGATTTAATTTATTTCGGAGGCACTTTTATTTTTTTCTGTCATAATATCTTTATCGTTCTTTATCTTTAACGTAACCTTAACTGATTTATTATTTATTATTTCTACTTATTAAATAAAACGAGTTTTATTTTGACGCGGATTACTTCCGGATTCAATGTTGCTATGGAGACGGTTGAAGCACAACTTACTTCGCTCTAGCTTTGATATTTCTGCAGCTTGTAGTGACTTTCTCGGTTTAATGTTGATGCTAGCTAAATTAACAATACAACAATACAACGTATGTAATCTAATTATTTTAAACGAACTCATGTCACAAAGGTAAGTAAAAGTCACTTTGTTCACGTTAGAACTAGAGTTGGCACAATTAAAGTTACAAGCCAGAAAGCTTGGAATAAGCTCAAATATATTTGCCATTAGCTGTTAATATGTAATTAAACATCATATTAATATGTCTATTTTATTGGATGGTCGTTTTTCCTTCTTTGATTTTAATACAATAAGCACACTTAGTTGGGGTTAATAAATTAAAAATACCCTTGCAAGAGAATCTAGCAGTAGTTCAGAATACCATGGCCATCTGTTTTCATTACATGCCCAGATGTCATTCTAATATTATGTACATTTTACAGAAAGTTAATGTTATAAATTTAAATTGCATACATAAAAAGCCATACTTTATTGTTTTTAGAACATACAATAAGTTGTGGTCTGATGCCCAGTCAGAGCTGACCCAGCTGCTGGCCTCAGAGGTGCCTCCAGAGCCTCTTCGTCCAGAGAAGGATCGAGTGGTGTTTTTTCAGCGGCTCGCAGTTTTCTATGTGCGTTACCTTCAGGTCTTTCGAAACCTAGAGGTAGCTTACGACCAGGTGGTGCACCCTCAGAAGAGAGTACTCATTCGAACCAATCTCGATGGTGTCATAGGACGACTGCTGGAGTTGAAGAATGAGATGGTCGAAAAAGAGTATTCTGAATATCATTACATGGATGATGTGTTACATGATTTAAAACTGACACCAGTAAGTTCCTTCTAACAAACAAACAGCCCCACAGGCTACACAGAGGATTGTCAATGATGCCTCTAATTTTGTATGCAGGAAAATCTGGAGATACCTATCCCACAACATTTCATAAGTGAATACAGCAAAGACGTGAAAGAACGTAAAGAGATGGTCACAAACATCCTGAAAACCATGGCGATCACTGAACGCCCACAAGTAGGTTTTCTTCACCATTTATGACCATTCACTTTGATTATTACATTATTTCTTATGTCAAATGCTTATTATGAAGGAAATGAGTCAAGAAGAAGCTGTGAGGATCATTCAAATTGAGGAGAGAGCGCGTCAAGGACGACTTAGGGCCAAATTGAACCAAGAAAGCATAAATATAAACCAAATGCACAGAAGCAAAGATCAAAAGGTTCTGGACCCTGCACTGGCCGTAGTCAGCATCCAGAAGGTCACCATTTCAGAGCAATTCAATATTTATCTACTGTTAATTTCAGTAAAACATAATGTAAATCTTCTGCAGTTCTGGAGAGGCTTTGTGGAAAGAAAGAAAACACAGATTGCCAGAGAGCAGGAGGAGATTCTTTTGGGAATGGTATAGGTTTTATTTTACATTTTTAACATATTATCTGTTATTCAAAAGGATGAACGATCTCATATCTATTCTGTTTCAGGCTATGGACCCTAAATATTATACAAAACTTCCTACAGAAATCACAGCTCTAGAAAACGAGGCTCAGACGCGGATCAAACAAAAAGAGTACGAGGAAGACTATCAGAAGTCCATCGTTGCCGTCAAAAGCCAACTCAAACACGTGGAAGGGCAGGACATCAGCCAAACTATGAAAGACCAAATCAGACAGTGGTTTTTCGAATGCCGGTACGTTTTTCATCTTTGTCTCTCACTCATGATGTCTATAATGTCCGCCATGCCTTAAATACTTCTCCAGAGACGCAACAGGTACATTTCCAGATTACCCAGACGACGAAGAAGGAGGATCTGCACTGATTTTTACTGAGAAAAACCCACAACAAGTAAACATTCTCAAGTAAATTTCGTGCGCTTTTTGGCTTTACTAATCATTTAACCGTGTGTGTTTTAGTTGATGGAAGAAATTGCTGCAAAAGAAGAGGAGGAAGCTAACGCCAAACCAAAAGGCAAAGAGGAGAAGGGGAAAAAGGACAAGGGCAAAGCTGTAGAAGATGTAATGGCCAACAGTTGTGGTGAAGAAACTGGAACGATTGAAAATGTATTTATTTCGTGTTATTTGTTGCTCCTGTGTTCTAGGAAGAGGAGGAGGGGCTGAAAATGCTGCCATCTGCTTTTTTGGCTGACCTGGTTGTAGGCAACAAAATGTACGACGGTATGTTCACCAATCAATTCAATTACATTTATTTTTGTATTGGCAAAGCATGTTTATATAGCAATTCATACACAAGGCAACTCAAAGTGGCCACACAAGGAATTAAAATCATAAATAATACAATCCCTCAGTTGTATGCACAGCTAAAAATAACTTTTATTAACCTGGATTTAAACATTGTCAGAGAAGAAGCCTGTTTCACATTTTCTCAGAGGACTTTACAAAGTTGTCACTTCTTCAAAAACAGATCAGAGAATCAAACCGTTAAAACAGAGAAACTGCAGTAAAACAAATATATTGGTCTGTGTGAAGCAAGATTACCATTGGCTACAAATATTGAGAATTGGCTATAAATGTTTGTCATGGTAACTGAAACTCTCATATCGTCCATCCAGATTATTGGAGAAGTCGCGACGAATCCAAAAACTATATTCAAAAGCACGTTGTGGAACTGATCAAAGAAGAGAAAAGGAGAGAAATAGAAGCGGAGGTTCGCCTGCAGGTGACGGTGCCGCTCTTTAAATGACCGCTGTTGTATTCTGACGCGTTTGTTAAAAAACTACTTTGGTTTTTCAGGTGGACGAGCAGATGCGTCAGGAGCTGGCTGAATGGAAACTCTCTGTAGACAAAGAGAAACTCGTTAAAGCCAAAGCTAACGCCAAAGTCAGTGTCTGTTTCTTTAAGTAAAATTGTGTAAAAGGATGTAAGAAAAGACCAGTATGAATGATAAATGTTGATATTTAGAAAAAGAAAGGCTCCAAAAGTGGGAAAAAGAAGAAAAAGGAGAAGGATCTCACTGCGGACCGGTGAGCCACTCCACTCATTTTTTCCTCTAAATCCATATTCTATTTTACTAATTCACTAACTAATGTCTTTTATGTGTGTCTGATAGAACTCTAGAGTCTCTGTGTAAAGAGCTGGCAGAACAAGGCCTTTTGAAACAACCGGATGACGTCAAAATGAAAGACTTTTTAGGTAACAACTATACGGTTTATAGTTTTAAGTATTATATTTACTATAATCATCAAGACAAATAGGGCCCTGGTCTTTCTCCCTCTGTTGTAAATAAGCATTTGTGAACTCTTAGGAGACTACAGTTATCTGGGCACCACACTGAGGCAGAATGACATCGAGCCCATGCCGTCTCTGTCCGATGTGCGTCAGGTTTTGTCTCTTTATGCCATTCTGCCTTTAGGTAAGTCTATGGATTCATGCTTATACAATGTAAGTGCTTTCTCAGTATTGATATTCTGCATAATGTCCTCAGGCTCCCAGTTTGTCCATGAAAGAGCTCCGTTGATAAAAGCCATCTTGTTGGCCGGCCCAGCAGGCGTGGGCAAGAAGATGCTGGTGCATGCGGTCTGTCAGGAAACAGGAGCAAACTTATTTGATCTGTCTCCCCTCAACACGGCAGGAAAGTACCCAGGCAAGAGCGGAGCCGCAATGATGCTCCACATGGTGTTCAAGGTAACATTTACTGACAAAGAACCACAACAATACTGGATCATAGACGCACAATACTGAACAATTATGTGTATCTATATTCTACAATTGTATTCCGATTTTCATTTGATATTCATATTTTCCCTTGTCTTTTTACTAACATTTCTACACAGGTAGCACGTTTGCTGCAGCCTTCTGTTATTTGGATTGGAGATGCAGAAAAAATGTTTTACAAAAAGGTTCCAAAAGAAGAAAGAGAGGTGACTCCCGTGATGAAAGGTAAATCCTCTGATGCTCGTGGATGACGTGTCCTCTGTTTTTCAGCTCGACCCTAAACGCCTGAAGAAAGACCTGCCTAAAGCTCTGAAGTTAATCAAAGGAGAAGATCGAGTGCTTATCATCGGAACGACCAACGACCCTCTGAGCGCCGACATCAAAGGACTGTGTAAAATGTACAGCAAAATCCTGCTGATTCCCCGACCGGATTATGGCTCTCGCTTCAGTAAGAAAAATATACTCTACTATAAACTGCTTTCAATGTGATGTTAAAGTTAAATGTCATGCCTTTGATTAGTCTTGTGGAAGCAGCTCATTCAGAAACACGGAGGCAAACTGACCAAAGCCCTGAATCTGAGCTCACTGTCCAAGATTTCTGATGGTTTCACTGCTGGTCACATCGTCAAAGTGATACAGACAGTTATAACCAAGAGACGCATCCTTCAACAAGCCCAGGTCCCACTGACAGCGATGGAGTTCATCGAGCCATTAGCCAAAATTGAGCCAGTATTTCAGGAGGAAGAAGAGGCTCTCAAGGTCGTCTATCAGAATTATTATTATGAATGCAGTTGGCTCATTGTGAGTGACGTTTATTGTATTACAGGGCTGGTATGCAAAGACTCCACTTGGAAAGAAACGTATTAAAGCTGCCACAGGACAGGACGAGGAGGAGGCTTCAGCTAAACCTGCTAAAGGCAAAGATGCCAAAAAGAAAGGGAAATAAAAGTGAAATAAATGTGTCTTGTTTGTTCAATCCAATCCATTTTATTTAAACTATTTCATGAGATCTGAGGAAACAAATCTTTCCTCATTCTGTGTTTGGTCGAGTGGAATTTCAGACTTTTCAAGACTTTTCATGCCAAATAGTTAAAATGTAATGCCATCAAACAGTCAATATACAGTAAAGGAGAGAGAAAGGATAAGAAATTAGGTATTTTTTAATTAATTCGGATGAGGCCAATTTCAAGAAAAAAAACAAAACAAAAACTTAAAGCTGGGGAACCTAACTTAAAGAAAACCAGATCACAAAATGTCATCTATATCTTGTTAGAAAACATTCAAGATTTTTGGGCTGAAAGGTGTTTGGAATTCTAGTTTTAACATGTATGTTTTGCATGTTTTTTGGCCTCTGTCACATCTTTAGATCAGCTTTTTCAGTCATGAAAAGTGAAGCACCACCACTACCACTATAAACTCTGTCAAATAGTGATACAAGGCATAGACATAAGACACAATAGATACAGGACATAAATAATCACAGAACATGCCATAGGGTTCTTTCCCACAAATACAGAATATTCAAATAAGACAGAGTCAGACACAATGTTGCGGTCTCTCTATGTTGACAAAAACAGCATGGATCATTTCTGAACAAAAGTTTGATACCCTAACTTTAAATATGGCCATAAGATAAAAGGGTGGGGAAATGTTGGTGCTGCAGCACACAAAATATACAGAAATAAGTAGCTGTGAACGCTTCTTAAATTGCTGTAAATGCTTCATAATAATAAATATACATCAATAATATACATATTTTATCAACATTGTTTTGGATAATGGGTATTTTGGTGTCATTAAAAGCACAGTCTTAATAGTATTCATTATCATCAGTTTGCTAAAGCTATAGATTTCATGCTTCTTTATTATGCTATAATTTGAGATGTTATTTTATTTTATTATAAAGTTATTGTTCATTTATCTTGTCATGTGTGCTCCTCATTCCTACTGTTCTGCAACCGGTGATTCAACACTGAAACTTCCTCACTGTGGGACAAATAAAGAAAACATCTCATAATCTTAAACGTCATCATCATCATCATCATCATCATCGTATAAGTATTAATAATATTATGTTACACATTTTTGCTTGCCTGGGTGCTTGTGTTTTCTTTTTATCCTGATCTGGCAACCCCGTACGTCACATGCAGGAAGACAACTTGTTGGCGGGTAACTTGCAGCGTGACAATTTATCCTGTAATAAAACAGCATCAAAACAAACGCACAGTAACAACAACAGCTGTCCGACATGGCGACATCCTCTGTGTCTAAAGGCTGTTTCGTCTTCAAACCCAGCAGCAAAAAGCGGAAACTTGCCGACATTGGCGATCACTTCATGCGCGGTTGTGAGGAGAAAGACGGGAGCGCGCTACGGTACAACTTGTTTAAGCAGCTTTGGGACCGGATCTTCAAAGACACCGAGTCCTTACAAGACGATCTCAACAGAAACATACTGGACAGCCTTTTGGACTTCATCAGAAAATGCTGTCACAAGAAACTGGACGACTGGGCTGCGCAGATGCGAGCCAGCGAGATCCCCACCGCGGCTCTCATGCTGGGCGTCAATGTGCCAGACCACGACATGACCTTCCACAGCTTGTCCGAGCTCCTGCGTGCGTCTGTCAGCCCGTACGTCGCCTCTCTGCACGCAAAAGAATGTGGAGCTTTGAAACACCTTCTCAAACGAGTCCTTGAACGCGTCATGGACGGAGAAGTGGATGTGGACGACGAGGAAGACGCAGAGATGGACGCCGTGCAGGTCAACACACGCGTCCAATGCTCGTTTAACGTACTTTGCGAATGGTACAAGGCGAAAACCAAGAAGTTAAAAGACCAATCTGTGCATAGACCTCCTGTTGTGGTCTTGTTTAAAGATCTGGAGGCGTTTAACCCTAAAGTTTTGCAGGAATTTATAATTATCTGCAGCCGCTATGTGGAACAGCTCCCTCTGGTGTTCATTTTCGGTATCGCCACGTCTCCCAGCACGATCCAAAACATGTTGCCCCACTCCGTCTCGTCTCTCCTGTGCATAGAGCTGTTCCATTCCCTCTCATGCACGCAGCACCTCGCCACAGTCATCGATAAGTTAATTTTGACCTCACGTTTCCCGTTCAAACTCGGCGCCAAAGTCATGCAAGTCCTCGTAAGCATATTCCTCTACCACGACTTCTCTGTGCGTAACTTTATCAAAGGCGTGCAGGTGGCTTTACTGGAGCACTTTCATTCACAGCCTCTCAGTGTGCTGTGTTGTGAGGAAAAAGTGGCCATGGATCTTATTGTGCACCTTCGTAAAAAAGATCTGGAAAGGATAAGAGAGCTGCCCTCGCTTAAAAGCCACGTTGAAGCTATGAAAGACGTGGAAAAGGCGGATCTGCTTATGAGCAATGACGCCAGCTTGAAAGAAGAATGCAAAACTCTAATCAAATCGCTTCACACGTATCACACTAACTACTACCCGGTCTTGAGATGCCTGCATGCCCTTACGTCAGGCCTGCCACGTTATCCTCTGGGGAAGCAGATACGTGAGTTGCATTTGATTTGTCTGGAGAACAGCGTGTGGGAGAGTGAGGACTACCAGACGGCCATGAAGCTGCTGAAGATGCTGTCCAAAGAGGAGCTGGAGGCGGGGATGCAGAGGTGCGTAGAGGCGCTGAAGCTGGAGCAGGAGGAGGAGGAGTCCGCGAGTATGACAAGCGCACGGGAGAGACTGCAAGAGTTACTGTCCCTCATGAGAGGCCTGGATCTGTGTGCAGATGTGGTCCCAGTCACAGAGGTAAAGGATAGATGTGTAGAATATAAGATTAAGATGTATTCATCCCACAGTGGGGAAATTTCAGTGTTGCATCATCGGTTACAGAACAGTAGGAATGAGGAGCACACAACATAAATGACCAACAATACTGCATAAAATATTATACATTAATAATCTCTAGGATTAGCATAATGAGGAAGCACGAATTAAGCACTAACAAGGCTGGGGTACCACACTTTTGTATCTGTCATAAATAATGCAACACTGAAATTTCCCCACTCTGAGATGATCAAAGGGTCTTTTCATTCTAGAGAAACTCACAGAGCAGTCAATTTGATGGCTTTTTATTTTGGAAGTGTCAGTACTCCGCTTATGTACATTTTTGGTCTTCATAACTAACTTTTTTCTGTTTCTATACGATGTTGATTTCCATGTCCATTATATTTATGAAATTATCTCAATCCGAGACTGGTCCTAGACTGGTTCAGAGCAGTAGCAAGTGCTTGTTACCATAGCAAAATGGCTTCAATTTAATTTAAATATTTGAGTGTAATCTACTTCTGTCAAAATGTAAGAAAAATGTGTGTACTTGATAAACAAACATGTACAGGAAAAAAAGGAGAGGGAAAGCAGAAGATTTAGATTTCAAGAATCATGAACAGATTCATGTTTTTGATGAATTATTATGAGGTATAACATGCCAAAGTAGAATTCATGAAGTTGTGTATTGAGTCCCATTCATTTAATTTGTTCTATAATAACTTTCTTATGCATGTATTTGAGCCTTTTTCACATCTTAAAGGCATATAGGAGGATTTTAGGAAAGAACCACCCTCACCACTTTCTGAACCAAAGTCACTCTGGTCTTGTTTGACGAGCATGTATCACCAGAATGATTGACAATTAGGAGGAGCAATAGTCTTAATGATCCACCCGGAAGTAGAAAATCCTCCTATATACCTTTTAAATATCAGCTTTTTCAGACACAAAAGTGCCAAGAGAGCGCTCTCTCTCAATTTGTCAAATGTGTCAAAACGGCATGTGGAGGCTGTGTTAGCCGGCCCCTTCTATAATAAACTAAAGCAAGGACACTCGACTTTAATAGTTTTTATTTTTCTTCCCTAGGACGCAGAACCCATCCTCACTTCTCCACTGAGAAACCTGCAGAAGAAGACCGACCTGTTCCAGCTGCAGAAAACCCTCCTGGAGATGAACGAGACTCGCCGCGTCAAGAAGCTCAGCCCCTTCGAGCGCCTGCGCAACGAGACCGTGGACTTCCTGGACTCGCTGGTGCGGTCTCACCTGTCCCCGCCCGAGTCCCAGCCGCTGCACGAAGTCATGTACTACCGCTCGTCTGCCACCGTGAGGCGCCACCTGAACGCCACCCCGCGCACCTCCATCCAAGCTGCGCTGAGCAATCCGTACTTCTACCTGCAAAACGAGAGCTTGCGAACGGACGACGGCGGCGTTTCCAACTCCGCTCCCGACATCTGCATCGCCTACAAACTCCACCTCGAGTGCGGCAGGTTGATCAATCTCTTCGACTGGCTGGAGGCGTACTGCACGGTGGTCTCTGCGGCCGAGGGGGGGGACCCTGAGGCGGAGGATTTCGGGAAAGTGGACGAAAGGAAACACGCCAGGTTCATCCAAGCTGTGTCCGAGCTGGAGTTTCTGGGATTCATAAAGTCGACCAAACAGAAGACGGACCACGTGGCCAGGCTCACGTGGGGAGGCTGCTGAAACAGGAATAGGGGGGAGAATATGGCTGCATCCAAATTCATACAAAAACCTACAAGTTTTTTTACTAGTAAAGCTTGAATGCCATCAGCTGTCACACATTTGGAAGGACGATATATAGCTTCAGATGAACAATTAACCTAAATAAACTATTGTTTTAACTGCTTTCCTTCCACTCAAACATCTACAATATAGCAGCAGAATCCCAGTGAAGTACTTCTTGGATTTCTGAGAAATAAAATCGTAGAATCAAGTAATATTTATCCATTAAAGAGACTTACTCAAGCTTCTATAGCTAAAATGAAATCAAGAAGAAAAGATACAGATGATAAATATTGAAAAAATAGAAGGGTTTTGCTACTTATAGGTGATGTGAGGAAGGAAAGGAATTGAGGTGCACATATAATTGTAAAATATATTATGGTGAATGTATTTCTAAAGTAATATTGAGTACATTTTTAAAGTGCTGTGGAAAGGGATGATCTGATGGGAAATAAATGTTGTAAACTTTCAAATAAAAGGTAAAGAATGACATTTCTGTGCTTTCTGAAGGAAAAGTGATTTCTCAAATGACTGATCCTTAAAGTAAAACAAACACTTCATACAGTTTTAAAACATTTGTTGGATGTGTATTTTTGGCCTGATGTCTTTGTCAAACTGTCTCATTGAATCTGTTTTTTGGTGAAATCTAGAAAATGCAGCCTCAGATTGCGTTGAGTTTACCTGCATTTGCCAAAACTGAACTCATGCCTTTTTATTTATTTTTTTGAGCTGTGGACGTGGTTTGGCTTTTGAATATTGCAGATAAAAACAATAATTTCCTCAATGTAACAGAAAACTAATTGTGTGTATTTTTTTCTCGCAGATCTTAAAAATCCACGATTTGCAGTGCATTTTAAAGTTAACAAAGTTGTGCAACGTTCTAGGAGTAGTAATGTGAAGATCAACTAGGACTACATTATCATAAAAAGTCCAAATTACTTGGAATGGAAACTAGTTTTGTCTCGTGTCCCAGATATTTTTATATAGTCTACACCTGCGGACTGCCCCGCCCGACCCGCCTGGGAGTGCTTCGGTCCTGCACCGGACCTGTCCACGTTCAGCGGCCACTGGTCCACGTTCTGTAGCTTACTGTAGGTCCTGGATCATTAGCCTGTCCGTCCGGACAATCGACAAGGAAAGAGTTTTTCCTGACTTCTGTTCTGACCTAGGGCTATACAAGAATAAATTGTATTGTATGATTGATACATCGATGTAAAATAAAAATATTTTTGATTAAATGAAGTGTGTCCAAGTAAGTGAATAGTTTATCAAGTGTATATACTTTGCCAGCTGATATATGCGCTCGTCAAGTGATTTCATTTACAAAACTTTTTTTAAATAATTTTTTAACCTTTAAGTATTTTTAAATCATATACACTCTACAGTTAGTAAAAGTAAATGACATTCACTTGAAGCAGTTTTTATGAACTAATAAAAATGGAACTCCTTGTTCATAGTTACACCACGAGAGGGCGCCATGTTTTCATAACTGCTCGTGACTTCACACCATGGATCTATTATAATAACTCACACGCATTGCCATTGACGCGCACTCAAAAACATTCAATTTTACATGTGTTACTTTATTAATGCATATACAGATTATATTCAAACATTAGTTACATAAATACACATAAAATACAATATTTTGATACGTTCGCACCATCTTGGCGCTAAATCGATTAGAGACAATCTGACGCCTTCTAAAACTTTCATAAAACATGCTTTTACGATTTCAATTTCTTTTACAACAAATATTTGAGATGGATACACACACATGCGAAACAGGACTTTTGGGAGTGAAATTATGGTCAATTTAAATCAATCTAGGCATCATTTTGTATTGATCTTGTATTTCTTGATTTAAAAATAGCAGTTAGTTACTTTGTATGTAATTGTTGTGACAAATTCCCCATTGTTAGCATCATGTTACCACTGAAGTATTTTTATAGCAATAAATATACCTGTATCGGTATACATTTGACTTTGATTCAAGTTAAATACCAGGGGACATTTAAAAACATCTCAATGGAAACAGTAAAGTTACACTTTAGAACATATTTTTGTATATTAAGTGCTCGTTCATGTTGTTGGTCTGGTTCACTTTGACTGGACAAAGTCTGCTTCTCAGATCTGTTTCAGAAAATGTAAACTGACTAAAGCTGCGGTACTAAACTTTATTCAACAGAGAGTCTTGTAAAAGTACAATGTTAACAAATGAGACCACAACACACAGTCTTCATCTCATTAGAACCCATGTCTTTTGCATAAGTCTAAGAAATCCCTGAGCGTCACTATTTGACACTTTGGGCTGAGAGCTGATCGGTAGAAAGAGGGTGGTCCTCTCTTTTTTACTTTTTTGTTTGAAAAAGCTGATCTAAAAATGTGAGAGGCCAAAAATGCATCCATGAGAAAGTTAAACTTAAAGCACCCCAGCTTTAAATGACTGATGGACTGATTGGTCTTTTTGTGTGGATTTAAAACCACCATTTTGCCCCAAATGAACCAGGATCGGTGCAGTTAAAGTGAACCAGCCCAGTGTGAACGTGCTTTTAAACACGTGGAAATAGCAGCAGAATTTAAAAATAAAACAGACTCCGATGATTTGATTCATCACTTCTTCCTAAAGTTACGCGGTCTGTGCATTACGCATTACTCAAAATGTGGACTTTTTATACTTTTATTGCAGATGTGGCTAAAGTAGAGGCTAACTCATCGTGGAACACACTTTCATCTTTTCAAAAATATATATTAATGTATTTGATTTGAATTGGCTGTTATCTCCAGGTTGGTCTAGAAGAGTCCTTAGTTTTAACGTCTTTATCTGAGAAAGTCCCGCTGTCGTTCCTCCGGCGGCCTACAGGGGGAGTGCTGGGTACAGGTGAACGTGGAGAAGTTTTGACAATTTGACATTTTTGCGACAAAGCTCGAAATGATTCCGAGCGAGACGAAGACGTAGATTTCGGAGATGCATTTTGAGGTGACATTGGAGGTTTCGTGGATGGACAGGTGGTGGGCGTTGAACGAGGAGTGGCTTTCGGAGACAAGATTTTAGGTGAAACTATAGATTTTTCTTTAGAAATTAAGCTTGAATTTTGAGGGTTTGAAAGGAATGAAGACATTTTGGGAGATTTTTCTAATGGAATGGAAATGTCCGAACAATTAGAGTCTATATTACCATTGTGCATAGTTGGGACATTTGTAATTTCTTGAGTGTCTTGAGGAAAACCTGAATTATTGTTTGTTAGATTTAGAGATTCATTTTCAGAAAGCATTTGAGGAAAAAGTGGATATAAATTGGATTTCTGGCTCGATAGATCAGATGGAGAAGCAACATTCTTTGACAAATGAACATGTAAGGTTGATACGTTTTTGGTTGCTCCAGTATTCCAGTTTGAGTTGTTATTCGTCAGATCTACGGGTGGATTTGAACTCTCTTTTGACATTTCTGGCGCCGGATTTTTGTTTTTTGAATTAGCCGAATCAAGCTGATCTGTTGAGTCCGTTGCCGTGTGATTTGACTTATTCATTGAGACTTTCTGAGCTGATGCGATGGACGAAGATGACGTTCCGGGCGATGTTTTTGGCGACAAGACTTTAGATTTCAGATTTGCTTCTACCTCTTCGTTGGCCAAATCTGAATTTGTCAAAATCACAGATGGAGACAGTTTGGAAGAGATCTTTGATGGTTTCGATGGCAAATTCCCACCGTTTTGCATAGATGTCATTGCTTTCCTTTGACTTGGCAATTTTTGAGACGTTCTCGGAGATGACATTTTGGGTGAAATCTTAGGCGACGAATTTGCAGAATTTTGCGGCGATGCTACGTTACCATTTGCCTTCGCCAGACTCTGATTTTTTCTTCTTAAAGAACTGGAAGCTGTCGTTCTCGCAAACCCGGGCGTAGTTCTATGCACAGGAGTCACTGGAGCGCTCAAAACTCTGTCTTTCTCACTCATCAACCTCAACGTGGACTTGCACATCTTCTCTTCCTGCTTCTTCCTTTCTTGCATTTTTCTCGCTACCGTTTTCCGGTTCGAGTCAACTTCTTGGTCGACTTTATTGAAGCTGGATCTGCGGGAGGAAGGGGCCGTGGAGGGTCTCTCTTGCCGACGAGCTGGACTCCTCGTGGACACGGAGCGACCTGGAGACCTGTCCGAGGCCTTCGCCGAATTCGAGCGAGAAATTGGCAAGACTCTACGCAGGCTGTTGTTCTCGCTCACCGCTAACGTTCGCATGGATCTATTTTCTGGTGATGTTTTGGGGCTTGGGGTCTTTCTCGCCGCTTGTTCCGTCTTGGCGTGAGGAGACGGTCTCGTGATTGGACTAGTCTTTGAATATTGAACCTTTTCTGAGGCTTTAGCGCCGTTTTGCCTTTCCCTAACCTCAGTTTCTAGTGTGTTCTTCTTGCTTTCTGAACTCCCGACAGCTGACAAATCAGTATGTTGAACGCCATTTGAATCTTGTCGTGTTTCCAAAAGATTTTCCTGCAATAAATTCTCAACTTCTGCCTCATTTAAGCTACACTGACCTTTTATGTCAATATCAGAAAACGTTGAATTTTGACCATTCCTCTCAATTTCAAACTCTTTACTTTCCACTAAACTTTTTGAACTTGCCAATTCCTCTTCTGATCCTCCTTTCGGATCGGTCCACGCCTCTTTTTCTTCCATCTCTGTGTCTATTTCCGCTTCTATGGCAACTGAAGTAACATCGACAAATCGCGTTAAAGGCATGGGCTGGCTGCTTATAGGCACTGTGTTATGATTGGGTGACTGCTGGTTTGAACCCATTTGATTGCTTGCATTAGCTTCTGTAAGGTTTTGATTATCAATTTGGGCATCTTTCACTTCGCAAACTCCAGTAACGCACCAAACTATAACAGTATCGCTGACGTCTTCCTTCGTTTTGACTAAAGAATTTGGTTTTTTGTGCGATTTCTCCACGGTAGGTTCATTGCAGTCCAATACGCACAAATCGTATTGCGTTTTGCTTTTTGTCGGGGCGCTAATCTTGTCGAAAGCTTTCAACTCGGGGACCAATGTGCATTTTTCTACAGTTACAGACATGTTGGCAGGATTGCAACTCGATTTCATGTGCGTTTGGAGTTCATCTTTGTTGGCGGTTTGGTCGTCGCAAGCTCTTTTTCCATTGTTGTTGAGATCAGAGGTAGCTGAATCTGTCTTTGCATTGTTCCTGAGGTAATCCGTCGTCACGTTTGTTGCGTTTTGCTGGGTTTTTTGTTCGTTTGCGACACGCAGACTCGCACAACTGTCTTTTTTCTTTGTGTCTTTGACTTCGAACGTCCTGGCGTTGGCCTCGTTAGTGTGTCTCGATCGGCGGGAGCTGCCGGATCGCCGCAGGAGGGGAGAGCGCGGGATGGATTTGGGCATCAAGAGCTCCATCAGCAGACTGGCGTCGTCGTGGCGAGACAGGGCCGAGCTCATGTCCAGGTCAATGCCGCTGCGGAGGCCGAACGCGCCGCCAAACTGAAACAAGGGAAACGACGGTTAGACAGCAGCTTAGGACAACGATTACTTTGTCAACTTAGTCCAAGTAACAGTGAACGTTTATGCATTTGTGGATCATTTGAAATGTGGTAGTAGATGGGCTGAGCTGAAGATGGCTTAAGTATAATGATAAAGTATATTGATAGCAGCTTATAATCTGCACATCAGCTGAGGCTACAGAGTGGATAAAGACAATCTTCACCCGATGGCTCATTGTTTTTTTCTTACTTTTCTTCTTACATACTTTTCATTACTTTCAACCAACACTGCCTGACTGATAGAATGATTGATTCTCCTCGGCCTCTTATATTTCCTTATTATTACATTTGTCAGGCCACTTTCACAGCCCACAGTCTAGTCCTGAAAACTACCAGTGATGAGCGTTCAATGGGAGGCACCATGGAAACAAATGAGAACAAAATGGACACAATAATACATGAGTGTACTAATGCATTATTTTCCATGTAACTTTGCCCTTCACCTAAAAAACAGCTGTTTAAGATATTTCCACAAACGTTCAATTTCTAGAATTATATTAAGATTTTGTGCACATTCCTTGACATCTATTCTTGACTATTTTATTACTTAGAACAGGAGGAATGAGTGCTGCAGGGTCCAAAAAAAAGTATTTGAGATCAGGTGCTCTACAGGAAGAGAAAAGATAAAGAAAAACAAAAAGACAAAAAAAGACAAAAACAACGGTACAAAGACTTTGAATCAAGCACGTAACAAAGCTAAATCCATTGAAAGAACACAACTTTTGAACAAGAAGCAAACTATAAACACGAGTGACAATAAACTGTTTGTGTCTTTAAAGTACACCAATCTTACGAAAGATATTAAAGACATTATTACAAACAATTGGGACATTATTCGGAGCGATCAGTCACTCTCCTCTGTGTTTCCGGATCCACCATCTTTTGCCATCAAAAGGGCCCCGACGCTCCAAGACAAACTGGTAAAAAATTACCTTCCTGCTCCGAGACCCACATTTTTCCCGAAACCGGTGGCACAGAGAATAGACTTTAAAACAGCTCTGCTTGTGTACAAATCTCTCCATGGCCTCGCACCAAACTATATTAGTGACATGTTAGTCCCATATGAACCAGCCCGGACTCTGAGGAGCACAGGGACTGGACTCCTGTTAGTGCCCAGAGTCAGAACTAAACATGGGGAGGCTGCTTTTCAGATTCATGCTGCTAAAATCTGGAACAGTCTTCCTGAAGATGTGAGACAGGCCTCCTCTCTGACAATGTTTAAGACAAGGTTGAAAACAGTTCTGTTTAGCTGTGCATACAACTGAGGGATTTTATATTTTTATCTTTTTTTTTTTAATGTACTGTGATTATTTATGATTTTAATGCTTTCTTGTTCTGTTCAGCACTTTGAATTGCCTTGTGTATGAATTGTGCTATACAAATAAACTTGCCTTGCCTTGCCTTGCCTTCCAGTGTGGATCATGCAACCATTGTGGCAACATAAACAAAACAATTTTTTTTAATGATTCCTCCAGTCAGTGTTCTTTTAAGTGTTTACATTTTGCCAACTGCAATACCACCCATGTAGTCTACAAATTGAACTGTTCCTGCAGTTGTTTTTATATTGGAATGACAAAGCGCCGCCTGAAAGACCGCCTGTCAGAACACAAGTATGCTATCAGAACTAAAAATCCAAACTACCCCATGGCTAGACATTTTTCTTCAGTTGGACACAATCTGAGTCACTTACAAGCCATGGTTATTGAGGTCATCCCTGCGAGTTTGAGAGGTGGGGACAGAGTGAAAAGACTCGCACAAAGCGAAACGTTCTGGATTGACAAACTCAAAGCCACTATTTTTCCGGGGTTAAATGAGGATGTTGACTTCTCAGTGTTTTTATAATTTTTATTATTTGCACTGTATTTTGTCAATTTGACTAGGTATTTTTTGAGGGGCCCCTCTGGTAATGTGTCTGCTTACATATCTTTGTGTGTTACTTTGGTCTTTGTAACTTACCTTGCAATGTCTGCAATAGTTTTAATATCCTCCCTCCATTCCTTCATTCTTTTTAAATGAAGGGAGGATATATATACTTTATCACGTGACGAGTCCTGTGGACGTCACTGGTCCTATCATACGCGCTCCTTCAATGTCTCATCCAATAGGGGCTGTTCTTGTGTGTCAGGTGACTAGTTTAGTGGATGTCATTTGTCTATTTTAACACCCGTTCATTCAATGTTTTCTTACATTGCCCTGAAGAAGGCCCTGCGTGGCCGAAACGCGTTGGTCCCTTCTGCATTAAAGGACTTTTTATCAGAGTGCCTCGGATTTCACCCTGTCTTTATTTTCCATACAAAAGGGTATTTTTTGTTTTTCTCTATTTTATTACTTGTTTGGACCATTTACAAAAGCAAATTCTTACAATAGCAATGAAAAAATTCAGCCCTTACCTGTTCTCCTGCGGCCCACGAGTGCCTCTTCTGCTCCTCCAGCTCCTGAAGTCTGCGGCGTCGAGCCACTTCCTTCCTCTCCCGCTCGGTGTTGTCCTGAACATTAAAGGCCAGGCAAGTTTATTTGTACAGCACAGTTCATACACAAGTCAATTCAAAGTAATGAACGAAAAAACATTACAATCTCACAGGTGAACATTAAAATACAAATCACAGTACACAAAAATAATGTGTATACAGTACAAACACAAGAAACTACAGTTATTTCATCATTAGAAGGAAACGCAGATGAATAAGATGTTTGTACCTTGACAGCAGCGGTGAACTTGAGGCAGAAGGAGGTGAAGATTGTGAAACAGTCGTCGAGTTTGAACGATTCTTTGTCTTCGCAGAAAAAGTCGAGCAGCTCATCAGCCTCGGCCCTCAGCTGCTGACGAGAGCTGCGCAGGGAGCACAGGGCCAACAAGGATCTCTGAAATCATACAAGCTCAGTTTACATACACTGAACAACAGTATAAATGTGGCACGTCTGGTTTCTCTCCCAAAGCTATGTACTGTATATATGCAGAATAGACCAATAGACTTTTATATACTTTGCGTGGAGTTGATCAGGTTGTTGGTTGTGGCTTGTGGAATGTTGGTCCACTCGCCTATACAACAACGTGTTTCCTGCTTATATCCAGCAAATTGACACTGAAGAGGAGTGCGCAAACATTCCACACGGCAAAATCAACAGAAGAATAACTCTATATTAAGTGTTGCAATCCTGAGAGGTTTCTAATTAGATAAGCATTGGTAGTTCTATAAATCAGATTTTTTTTGCGTTGAAAGCGTATCCTCAAGCCTGATTAAGCGTTATTGTGAGGCAAAAAAAATAAAGCACTGTGTTTATATTTTTGTTCAGTGTTCACACATAGTGCTGTTCGGTGACCAAACACAAACATAAAACATCACTTGGGATTCTGTAGGCTTATTGAGAGTGAAAAACAACTTTTGAGCCATTCAAGCTGAGGTCACTGGCTTTGTAAATGGTCATTCCATTGTGTTTTGAGTGTGTAAGTTTGTATTTCCACCTGTAGAAAGGAGTCCAGCTGCTCCATGAGTTCTGTGTCTCTCTGAACACTCTCCTCGATGGAGCGAGTCCGAGACGCCAGCCGCTCCAACTCAGTGTCCAACGTCTCCACTGAGATCCTACACAAACCAAAAAAGATTGAAAAGTATTATACACAATATGAAGAATATCAAGATTATGAACTTGTCTTTTATATTAGTGACATGTTAGTACCATATGAACCAGCCCGGACTCTGAGGAGCACAGGGACTGGACTCCTGTTAGTGCCCAGAGTCAGAACTAAACATGGGGAGGCTGCTTTTCAGATTCATGCTGCTAAAATCTGGAACAGTCTTCCTGAAAATGTGAGACAGGCCTCCTCTCTGACAATGTTTAAAACCAGGTTGAAGACAGTTCTGTTTAGCTGTGCATACAACTGAGGGATTTTATATTTTTATCTTTATTTGTTCTGTGATTGTGGAAATTAAAAGCTTACACTCATTAACCATGAGGGCATGTGACAGAACAAAGTTTGAAAAAAATCACACATTTGGTCTCGTTTAAAGCTGGGGTACCTCACTTTATTTTTTCTTAAATAATGGTTGTTTGTTCTGAAAACAGTGACTTGCCCTGTGGCAGATTGACAGAAGCGAGGGAACCAGTATGTGCTGACCGCCACCAACCATTCGTGCACACACCATTCTTCCTAGGCAAGTTGAAGTGTCTTGCCAAAGGACACAACAACAGTTTGTCACTTTACAGCCGCAGCCACCCACTGTGGCACCTGTTGTTCCCAGAGGTCTCCCATCACAGAACATACCAGGCCCTGCCCTGCTTAGCTTCATGGGAGTGACAGGATCTGGCTTTCACATGCAGATGGTGCCACAAGAATCACAGTTTTGAGAGCAGAAAACTATATTTAGATGGATTTAATTACATCCTTCTTTGTGGTTTAAAAGTCAGGTACCCAACCTTTAAGGAAACTCCTATTCACAGTTTATCGTCTTGCTTTTTTTTTGGACTTTTAAAAAAAAAGTTTGATTTGGTCATTTTTTTGCATAGTTCTGTAATCCATACTTTACCTGGACGCAGCCTGAACATGAGTCAACCTCAAAGGAAACTCCAGCAACTTCTCATCCTTCTTTTGAGCTTCCTGCAGAAAAAAATAACGATAAGTTTTAAGTTGCAGTCTCTATGATTGAAAGTCTTTAATAAATAACACATTTTGAGAGCCCTTACGAGAGCGACGAAGTGCAGAAGGTTCATTCCCGGTTTATTGGCTTTGGTCTCAGCCAAAGACGGTAGAGACGAGAGTTTGAAGCCCACCGCGTTTCCAGAATATCCTCCCTGCCAAACAGATCAATTTATACCAATATGAAAATACTGCTTGTGAACGGCAATAAGAACGAGGAGAGATACACATATTTAAAATACACTCATGAAAATGAAAATTGTTCAAAGTATTATCCTCCAACAACAATGGTTCTGAACTGGACCCACTGAAAATAACGGACATTTAGTAATTTAATAAATCTTATTAATGTAAAATAGACAATATTCTTTTGGTGTTATAAGCGCTGAATAATATTACAACACAAAACATTTTGAACACAATAACTCCAGAAGATTCCGTAATCAAATAACTAGATACCATTTTTTTTAAATGAAAGTAAATTTGTCTTTGAGTACAGTAACTAATTTTGTCACCTTGTACTTGAAGTTCTTCACATTTCATCTCATTTTCAGAGGATTTAATGCTTTTTCTTGATTTAAATGTAAAAACTATAAACATATTTTTCTTAATATTACTTAAATCAAAGGTAATATTTTTTTCATGCGTAGTTTAAAAATGTAGCCTAGAAAATTGCTAAAAATGATTGGGCGACCCAACAGTTGGAACATCTCAAAAACTGCTAATAATAAACACATTAGCATTTATCATACAATATTAGGTTGAAAATAAGACCTATTTTACACACATAAAGTTATTTTTTACATTGAGAAGTCTTCATCCACCACATTTCAACATTTATTGATCATAAAAATATGACCAATTGAAAAACATATCACTGACAAGTAAGACCTAACCATTTCTTTTACTTGTTGAGAATATTGCTGACGTTACACAAAGGGCTTTTCCTTCAGCCCCTGCACATTAGTGAAGGCTCATTAGCTTCCCCTCGGCCTCCTCAGTGTAATGTACAGTTCTAACAGCCCTTGTGGCCACGTGACTTCTCAGTGATGGATGATTCCTGGGTCTGGGCTCGGTCTGTGTGCGACTCACGGCGTTCAAGAGGTTTCCCGCCTGCAGCACCAGATGGAGAACCGCGTGCAGCTCCTCACAACACATCAGCTCTGCAGCAAAACCACAAGACCACAACAAGAGAATTAAGGAGGGACCAGGGGGGACCAGTACTGAATGATCTTTGGGCAGGTAGAATGACCATCCCCAGAGAACACATCAGGTGAACCAAACAGTTAAAACAAGAGTAAGATGATTCTCCAAAGCAAAAAAGACCTACAGTACGATGTGGATTAGTCTTATGAATCTTATTCTAATCCCCACGCATCAGTTTCCATTCTTGTCTGTGAAGCGCAGTCGTTTCCAAAGTCTAGAGACAAGGGGTTTTCTTAAATATAAATGTGTCGTTAAAGAGTATTTATGTTGTGACCAAATATTGTTGAATTTGACACATGGATGCTTATAAATTGACACAAGCCGATAGATTATGAATCTAATCCACTTTCTTTATAACGCACATTTCATAAACGATTTGCAAAGGGCTCCACTGGAAAATTGAAACCATAGTAATATAAATTGAAGTCCTAGCAATTGTCATTCAAGTCTGCTATCTATAAGTCAAATCAGAATACAACGAAATTACATATAAATGAATATATAGAAAATAAAAGCAAAGTAAAGTAAATAGAATGTAAAACAAAAGACTCCAAGCTGTCAGATGTTAAAGGGAAAAATATCAGGGTCAGAAGAGTAGTTTCTGTTATTGTTATCATCTTATTATAGAAAACATGTATTCAACAATAAATGGCTTCAAACAATCACCAACGATGAGTGAGAAAAATATGTTTCCATTATCATTCATAAAAATGTCTGTCTGGGTGAGTAAACCTTCAAGCACAACTGTATCTCAATTGCTTCTTGTGTAGAGAGTCACTGATAGATAATTGAATAAGTTTTTTTTATAGCCAGTTTTTTTATATATATAGTTTATAGCCATACTGATGGAAGCTACGCTGTAATTTCAATACAGACATCCATCCATCCACAGTCAGAGTCCTGGCTGCAGCAGCTCATGCAGACTTCGGAAACCCCTCTGGACCAGACCATCTCACACAAGACGGAGTTCCGGATTTACAGCTCTGCAGTACTCTCCATCCTGCTTTATGGCTCGGAGACGTCACATCTTAACAAGACTCTGTAAGAATCGATGGCTTTGATAGAAGGGCTCTCAGAATGATCGAGAACATCAGTTTGCGCCAGCGGGTTTCCAACGACGAGCATGCAGACCCAGAGCATCTTGCCTGACTGCACAATGTCACACCCGCTGGTTCGGCCAACTTCTCCGCCTCCCCCCCCCCCCCCCCCCCTTGACCAATCGGCAAGAACTATTGTCCAGTTTGACCTGAGGGTTGCAGGCGGGAGAAGACCACGAGGCAAACCCAGTACCTGATTGGTTCAACGCCATTGAGGGCAACTTCCAGCAACATGGATTTGCACTAGAGGATGAAGAACAGCTGGTACCAGACCATCAGCTCTGGAAGAAACTGGTTCATCTGGTCCCCCCCCCCCTCCCTTTCTTCCTACCACTATAAATAAGTAGATCCATCCATCGTTTTTCTTCCAATTCATCTGTAGCCGAGTCACGGAGGCAGAAGTGCGAGCAGAGACGCTAACTTTATACTTAAGATACATCAGAAATAGTCATGTTTGTATACAGGCCACTTAACACTAGTATACTTTATTCACTTATATTAGCTTAGCCGCTTATTTAAGATCAGCGCGTGTGCTCCCGACACTGGGAGCTGGAGACACAGGAGCAGAGCAGGTTCATTAACATTATCACAGGTTTATAAATACAGTGGGTGTAAACTGCGTTGCTGAGGTGTGACACGAGTCAGATCTCAGCCCCAGACTTTGATTAGTGCGTTCATGTGATGCTGTTGCTGCTTAATCACACCAGCTGGTTGAGGACATCATCAAGGCGTCTCTGCATATGCTCAAATAAACGTACCGTTAGGATCCTGTGCCTTTCATGCACATAAGAAGCTTTTCTGCTAAACGGAGAAACAATACACCTTTTGTCAGTAGTCTTAAGCATAAAGGCTTAAATTCATGTAACTCCTTCCTCTTTTGATTCCACCACAAGTTTTCACATGCATGTATTTTTGGCCCCGGTCACATCTTTTACAGATAGAACAATGACAAAAAGAGGACCACCCTCACCACCAATCAGCTCTCAGCCCAAAATGTCGAATAGCGACTAACAGGGCTCGCTTATAATAATATAATTATATAATAATAACGTGAAGACATGTGGTGTTCTGATTTTCATGTCACTTTTTCAAGTTTCTTTTGGGACAAACAAAATGTATTATGAAATTTAGCAGGTGCTGAGAAGGTGTAGCTTGTGGTGGAGAAACTAAGCCATTTTACATCAATATTGAACTGCTGTAGATACACACACTCAACAAAATCTGAACTGTTGATTTATGTGTGACCAAAAGCCAAACCTGACAGAGCCACTGCCATTTTTTCATAGAGTGGCTATGAACAATATTTGCTGTACAATATTTGCCTCGGTCAGTACAATATTTGCGGTACTATATTTGCTGTACAAAGTTTTCCTCCCTCCAGGTATCATTTCATCTAAAGAAGCATTTTCAACATCAATGTGCCACAGTGATTAAAAATAATACCACAACAAATATTTTTCGAGCCGAATTTTGATGATTATTCCTAACTTGACCAGCCCTGGGTCATTTATACCCTTTTAGACTCTAATTTAGGGTATTTTTCTACTACTTTTCATCATCTGTAGCAGATCATTTTGACCCAAGGGTAGCACAAAAACATGTTGGATAACAAATATTAAAAATAATGGGCGGCATGGTGGCTGAGCTGATAGCACTCTCACTTCTCAGCAAGAAGCTTCTGAGTTCGAAACGGAACAGGGCCTTTCTGAGTGGAGTTTGCATGTTCTCCCCTTTTCTTGGTAGGTTTCCTCCGGGTGCTTAGGTTTCCCCTACCACTAAAAACACGTGCATTTGTGTCTGTTTGCGAATGTGGGACAACGGAAATTAGCACATCTCTGCAATCCGAAGAGGTGTGAACATAAAAAACCAAATAAAACCATAAATAAATAAGTTAATGCATATACAACATTTGCTGTTTGGCTGAGGGCTGGAGCTTTTGCAGTTACAAAGTTAGGTACTCCAGCTTTATTTTTTTGTAACATTGATTTTTGAGGTTTATTTACCTTTAATGGCAGAGTGTAGAGTCTTTATGTCCCGTTTCATGGACTCATACTCCACTGGAAACTCCTCCTTCAGCAGCATAGACTCAATACGAACAATGTAACTGAAAAGGACCGTTTTAAATTATGTTAAAAGCAGCACAGCATTTATGACCTGTTGTTGAGACATGAGTTTAATTACATAATTTCCTAATGATAAATCCACAGACTCTGGTAAGACTTTGGTAATATTATTAGAGCTGTCAAAAATATAAAAAGTCCAAACAAGATATTAATTTGAGCAATTTTCTTTTTGTATATTACATTTGAATCTACAATAACTACGACTACAAGTCCTGAGTTATAAATTACAGTTTATTTTTTACCATTCATAATTTATGATTGTGACGACACAAAATATTATAAGAAATTCTATTGAAAAAATAGATGAGTGAGAAAAGCACCATCCAATTTAAATGATATAACGTTTTGTGTTATTATTTTTTCTGAAGCTGGGGAAGCGTCCTAGGACTGCGTCTCACCTGGGCACCTGAATCAACAGGTAAATGAAGGAATCGGCCAGAGAGAGCTTTGACACGTCTCCTCTGAACGCCCTCAGCTTTTTCACCTTCACAAGAGACGCACAATGAATGAATGTGAAACAGGCCGTATGTATTATGTATGTGTCATTATACGGAAGCATAAAATACCTCGTCAGATTCAGGCAGAAGTTTGAGCAGCTCCCTCAAAGGTTCTGTTCCGTACAGTTCACCATTTCCACTGCGGATGTCCTCTACAATCGACTGATTTGACCTGGAACAGAAACATAAAAGAATGACAAATCTGCTTCATCTGTAAACTGTATGGCTGTATAAACTGATTAGGGAGAGGCATCGATACTGATATGAACACTACATGCTAATCATTTATCCTCCTAACAACATGTTTATAATGTGAAAAAAGTTATATACCCCATCTTCAAATTAAGATATAGCAGAGTAAAAAAACATTTAAATTTAGTAGTAGTAGTGATTGTATTACTTTAGAGCCTAGAGTGTAAACATAGATTTTAAGTGATAAAATCATTATGCCTAGTTGTGGAGCTACATTACTGCGAGACAGATAAACAAATAAATATCTTCTTTCACCTTCGACAGTGATTTGTGTGGTTTTGCAACAGTCTCGTGGCCGGTCCCTGATGCCCCCATGTGAACACTGTTTACACATACACACAACACAAGCACAACCTGGCCTCACAGAGACGGCGACGGAAAAACATGCTTTTCCATTAACATTAACACATGAAACGTCTGAACCTCTGCATCCAACCCAGCCTCACTCAGAAAAAAGAATGACACATTACAGCTCTCCAATCAAATGTTTTCCCAATCCACGTCTGTGGTCCCTCACTGTAACGCAGTTCACCTTTAGCTGCCTCGCTGTTTTGTGGATTATTGTGTGTGCAATTTAGCTTGTTCTGCAGTGTCCTTTTCATGCATCGTGTGTCTATTCAACACCATATAAACGCTAGTACAAACGCAACAGTTACAGAAGAAACTTGTGTGTCTTGTGTGCACCGCGGTGAATAGTTCAGAGGACTATCAGGGTCTTTCCGTAGCCCCGCTTCTGACAGCTGCAGCAGCACTCAGACCAACAATAAACAGGTTCGATATCTCTGATTGAACTTCAGCAGTCGTTAGTTCAGGTTACTTTGGAGTTTGCTCACTGCGTAACCTCGCAATAAACAAGGGACCACTGTACCACTGTCCCCAGCTTTAACTTTCTATTAAAGCTGAGGAACCTGACTTTATTCTCTTCATAAACAAGCCATTTAGTTTGTTCCAACAGAAAGACTCTTGGAAAAGTAAAATGTTAGGAACTCTGACCACAACATGCTAATTTCATCGTATTAAAAAGATCAAATATTTTGCATACTTGCAAGAAAGAGCGCTTTGGTCTGATAGAGGAACCCCCTCCCTCGGCCAATCAGCTCTTTTTCACTTTATTGTCTAAAAAAGCTGATCTAAAGAGGCTTTAAATTCATGCATATAAAAACAAGTGATAGAACCAAACTGCTTTAAAAGCGAGGAACCAGTTTAATTTCTATTATGTTGTTACATTATTTGTGGTTTGACAGTTAGGTACCCCAGCTTTATGTCAGTGAATATAGACAATATAAAAGGGGATAAATAATCAGCGACACAAAAGGCAACATCCGCCCAGACTAATAACATATTATGTATCACCATGGCAACGGCAGTGACGTACACAGGGGTCTGTCTACAGTCTCAAACCTGCATCAGCAGCCGTTCAGTTTACACACAACAGGACTGTGTGAGGGCGAGCAGAGCGCAGCACGCGAACACCACGACAAGACACTGGGGAGAAAAGTGGTACTATTGTGCAGTATTTATGCATTTATAAATAAAGGGAATAGGTTGTGTTCCAGGGCCTATACTTTAATATTGTTAAATGTGGCTCAAATAAAAGGTAGAGGGAATCAATTTGACATCAAGAGCTCTAGTTGTGCCCTTAGGCAGTGCACTGTGGTGGAGTTCATGGCAGACTCTGTTCCATGAAGTTGACCTCAGGGCAGGAAAAGCTTGTAACCAACAAATGCAAGAAGTTTATGAATAAAAAATGTAAATATAGAATCCAATCTTAAAATATTTTAAGGTTGGATGGTCTTGCTTAGTGTAAAAATTTAGCTCTTGAACTCATATGAGAGAGGCACTGGTCTGAGCCACAGCAATTGAGAGTATGTAATATGCAGGATGTAATAATTCAGAATGTATCTCATCATTAAAAGTCAGAATTTGGACTTGAATTTTTCACTAAAGCTGGAGGACCTAACTTTTGTGGCTGCTTCATTAGTTTAGTTTGTCCCAACAGAAAGAGTCTTGTTTAAGTAAAATGTTGTGAACAAATCACACTGTTTTAATACAAAAACGTGTATTAATTAGTTTGTGAACCGTTTACTATATTAATTCATTCATTCAACAAAGAAATATGTGAATAAATAGCATTCTAATTAAATTCAATTTAATGTATTATTTTGTATAGCACTAAATCACAACAGTTATCTCGGAGGACTTTACAAAGTTATTGATTCATTAACACTGATCAGAAAATCAAACAACTCAAACACAAGAAATGCAACGATAAAAAACCACATAGAGCCATTGGTCCATAAGGAGCGGACGACCAATGTCCACCAAACCAAAACGTTCCTGTGTTTTGGTTTGAAACTCAAATCACAGGAAAGATGTCCATAAATGTTCTACCGGAAAATATCCTGAAATGCTGGACAACTTGGAAGCGATTATGAGAAAATATCTTTAAAAACATGGCAAAGGCTCAACATGGATCCCTTTTTATTAGTAGATTTTAGTCCCTACAAAGCACTCGAGTCACTGTAGTACAATTTTACCTTTTGAATTGTTTGAGGAAAATCCCAATGTTCATGCCTCTCTTCCCGTCGAGGATACACATCTGAGGAGAGGCAGAGTTAGATCAAACGTTTCATCCACGCCTTCAGTCAACGCCGCTCTTGCTGCAGCCAGCTGTTTGTTTAATTATAGTTTCATAGTGTAAACCTGACGCCTTTATGTTGCACCAGAGGCAATGATCCATGAAGCAAATTGTCTTATTGATTCGCATGATATACAAGCCAATGGTGCAGTGCCTGAATGAACTTGCTGAATATAGAAGGTGCTTAAAGTTTTCAATTATGGACTAATGCTGGGGTGTCAAACCGGTTCTCAAAGGGCCGGTGTGGCTGCAGGTTTTCATTCCAACCAAGAAGGAGCACACCAGACTCCCACTTGAGGAAATGGGTGGAGTCTGCTCTGCTCCTGTAGGGTCTGAAAGAAAACCTGCAGCCACAGCGGCCCTTTCTGCACTGGTTTGGACATCCCTGCACTTGAGGAAATGGGTGGAGTTTGGTGTGCTCCTGTTAGTTTGACTGAAAACTTGCAGCCACCCCGGCCCCCTCTGGAACCAGTTCGACACCCCTGGCCTAATGAGTATTTTAAGGTTGGATGCTCTTGCTTAGTGCAAACAAATTGCTCTTGAACTCATGAGAGGAGATACTGGTGGTTTATATTTGAACCCAGAGCTACAGCAATCGAGAGTATGTAATATCCAGGATGTAACAATTCAGAATTTATCTCATCATTACATTGACTTGAATTTTGCATTAAAGCTGGAGTACCTAACTTTTGTGGCTTCTTCATGAATAGGTTTTGTTTGTCCCAACAGAAAGTCACGACAACATGCTGTCTTCATTATTATAAAACATTTGATATTCTACATACTGAGAACTGATTGGCTGAGCGAAGGAGGTCCTCTCTTTTTCACTGAAAAAGCCAGAAATACATGGATGTGCTGAATAGTGAAGGAACTGTTTTGAGGATCTAGTGGCTGTTGAAAGTTAGGTATTCCAGCTTTAAATGACAATCTTCAATATTATACATGAAAGCTAAAAGGGAGGGAAAAGGAATGTCTAAGTTTGAATCCATATTGTTTATGGGATAAAAACATCTTTCACCTGAACATTCAATAACGTTCATAGACTGATGATCAATAGTATACCTCCTCTTTGGTTTCTCTGAAGGAGGTCCGGCCCCTCCCCCCTCGCGTGGACGGGGTCTTAGAGTTTGATTGACAGTCGTGACTAAACAGCTCCTCTATGGTCTGCACATCAATCTGGTGATGCTCGATGGGGCCCTGAGTCCACAGGTTTGTACGTCCTTTTACCTAAAACACAAACCAATGTTTAGACGTCATATATATGTTTTCTTTGATTTGGACAATGCACATTTATGTTAAAGAGAGATTCCTGCAGAAAGTGTAGTACAAACACAATGCCAGAGTTCAGGTCATGGATGGGTTATTGATCCCTTATGAACAAAATCTTTTACACAATGACACAGAAGCAGCAGTGCAGAGTGGGAGCTGGAATCACACATGCAACCTGTGAATCTGACAGCTCTACCAATGATATATGTTGCGAGTTTAGTTTAGTTGTTTCATTTAAGGTGACAGGGACAGGTACCAGGTCATAGCTCAAGAACTAATGTCCACTTGTAGTCCCTGGGCTGATGTTATGACATTAAAAAAACAATCATGCACATATGGATGTACAGTTTACATTTGGCCAAAATGCATAAAAGATCAAGTCTTCACGTACACACACACATATATGGTTGATAAATAATAGATACTTTTAGATACTATATTCATCCTACAGGGGTAACTTCTGGTGACCATCAGTAGCTACAGATACATAGTACAGATACAGACAAGAGAAATTTATAAAAAAACATCTAATAACCCAGGATCGCTGACCTTCTCCAAGGACACAGACATACCAATTGAGATGGTGTCAGACAATACTGCTATAGATTAGGTTTAATCAGTGTTTTAATCATTCATTCTTAGTTTCTTCCCAAAAAGTCTGAAAACCTTGGTCCATTTCTAACCTGATGCTGTGGTTCCTCACCTGATGTTCTGGAATGGTCTTCCAAAACAATTTCCTCACGCTCTTGTTGCGTCTGAGGCCCATGGAGGAGTCTCCCAGTACCGGCAGCAGGGGCGGTGGCAGCAGCGGAGGTGGTGGTGGTGGTGGTGGTGGTGGTGGTGGAGGCGGCAGAGCCAGAGGGGGCGGGGCTAACACAGAAGCAGGCGGAGATAATGACGCTCTGATCTCTGACGGAGTAGAGAGAACCGGACAGGCGCCATCGTGGAACAGCCCCATTTCGCTGAAGTGTCTCCTGCTGTCCATCACAGGCATCGCAGCAGCCAATCCAACGCCACTCTTGGGAGGAGGCGGGGCTTATGAAAGGGGAGGGGCCTCATCTTCATTGTGGTTTATAAAACGTGTATTCTGGAAAAGAAAAAGATAAAGAAATCATTTTATTGTTAATACACTTTCAGAGCAGAAACAAAACCATAGACATCACAAGCCCGCAACACAGATCTGACCTGTAACTTGGCTTGCTGACACCACCTGCTTGTCTCCATGGAGATGTTCAAGTCTAAGCCATTGTATTGTAGTTTGCATTGAGAAGTTATGAGGTCTTGAACAGTTCAAATTAGTTACTGAATAACACCTTTAATTCACACATCTCTCCGTCATCTGACAATTTCCACGCATCCCGTTATGTAATGAGCACAATCCAGGTATCATGGAATATACAGTGACCAGACACTTATTTTATACTTAATAGTGTTAAGTATTCCTTTATAGCTATCGTTTAAATTGTATGCTGTTGCTTCTAGATGACACAAGGCTACAGTATCGTAACTATTATTGGCATGACATTTCTGAAAACCAGATATGCTTTGATGAATACAGATGACGTTTGTTACATAATAGGATCCATTGGTCACTAGTTTCTATAGCGGTGAAACAAGTGAGTCCAACAAAATCAGATTTGTACAAAAAATACCAGGAACTTAAACATATTTGGAGATTTGTACAAATATTAGTCAATGTTGTATGATTTTGGACAAAAATGAGAGGACATTGTTGGAAGAAGACTCACTGCACATTTGTGATTGAACTGTAACATGACTACGATAATTGGCCAAACGAGATGGCAGACCTTTTATTCAGTCAGAGGATATCTTGATCCACTTTGGTAAGATCCAAGCTCCATCACGTGTCACCAATTTCGCTGTAGACACTGAACAATGGGGTTAGTGTTGATTTGGCATCGTCTGAATGTGGTTCAGATTTAGGTCAAGAGGTGATGAACGTATTTGGGTTCATCTGGATTTGGACAGAGAGCAGACTGGGTAAAAGAACCTGAGGCGAATGTTGATAATGGAAAAGATTTCAAGCTGAGGTCTTAGGCTCAGATAATAGACTTTGAAGCAGCTCTACTAGTGTACAAGTCTCTCTATGGCCTCGCACCAAAGTACATTTGTGACATGTTAGTGCCATATGAACCAACTCAGACTCTGAGGAGCACAGGGACTGGCCTCCTGCTGGGACTCTTGATGCCCAGACTCGGGACTAAACATGGGGAGTTTAAAAAAATACAATCTGGAATAGTCTTCTTGAGAATATCAAACACGCTTCTCTTCCAATTGCTATGTGCATACAAATAAAATAATCAATTTACAGTCTTCTCATTCAAAATATATGTAATAACTCCCTCTAATTATTACAACCTTTGTTTTGGAAAACGCTTGAATGCAATGCAAAGTTGTACTATCTTGTTTCAATTCATTTCAATAGTTAATTTTAAATGTCAGGATTTAATGGATCTTTTTCATAGCAAACAGTAACACCGTTGGACATTTGAGCTGTGCATGTTTGTTTGTTTGTTTATTGGGGATCCCCATTAGCTTCCACCAAAGTGGTTGCTAATCTTCCTGGGGTCCCAGTTAAGACAACTGTATTACAAAAAATAAAATAAAATAAAAAAACAAAAAAATCAATACATTCATTAATACAGTACATTATTCAATACAATACATGAATTCACTACCATAATGTTAAAAGCATAGATCAAATAGATCAATTAGATCAATTGCCGAATCAGCATCTGTAAACAACACAAGGCATCAAGGCATGAAGCCATGCATTATAATGATGCATTGCACATTTGATATTTGAGTTTTCTTTTTAAAATATGTAGAGAAGTTTGATCTCTCATCTCCCTAGGAAACTCATTCCAAAGTTGAGTTGCTCTGAAAATAACAGTCCTTTTCAATGATTTTGTTCTGGGCCGATTGACGACCAAGTCAGCATTTTGAGCCTGCCTAGTAGAATGGGTGTGAATCTGATGTACATATGTGATTTTCTCAAACATTGAAATTGGTTCACCAGTAAGTATTGCTTTTTTCAGAAATATTAAAAGGCTATACTGTAGCTTATTGTGAACCAAAGGCCAGGATAAAATTTTATGCATTTTGTTTATACTGGTAAAATAAGAACAATTTAAAACCAGTCTTGCAGCCTTGTTCTGTACAACTTGCAATCTAGATATATCTGTGTTGCATGCAGCAGACCATATAATGGGGCAGTATTCAAGATTAGATAAAACGAGGGATTGGACCACCTGCTTCAAAATTGTTGTAGGTACAAAATAAGAACACCTTCTCACCACACCAATAGCGCTACCCATCTTACTAATCACCTGGTCAATGTGCGGTGACCATGAGAGATGGTGATCCACTATAACACCTAAAAGTTTAATTTGCTCAACCTGTTCTAACTCGGCTCCCTCCATAGTCAACTTTAATTGACACTTTTCATGTAGACGTTGTTTACTTCCAACAAGCATAGATCTTGTTTTAGAAATATTTAAAATCATGTTGTTGCTTTTAACCCACTTGAGGACCTCGGCCAAATCATCTTTTAATACATTTGATATTTCATTCACATTTGAATTGGAATAATACATGGTCGAGTCGTCAGCATACATGACAACTTCAGTTTTGTTTAGTACATAAGGTAAATCATTAGTGTAAACAGAGAAGAGGAGTGGGCCGAGGCAGCTGCCTTGAGGTAAGCCACAGTGAATATCAGATTCTTTAGACAGGGAACCATTATAATAGACCTGCTGACTCCGGTCTGTTAGATAATCCTTTATAAGAAACAACGATCTTGTTGAAAGTCCATAGCACCTTAACTTGGCAATTAGAAGGTCATGATTGATAAGATCAAAGGCTGCACTAAAATCTAAAAATATAGTCCCAACAAAGCCACCTTTATCTAATTCCTGGTACCAGTTGTCAATCATATGGACCAATGCAGTAGTGGTGGAATGATTAGGTTTGCATGGTGACTAGATGGAGAAATTGTAATTCCGGCAGTTGGCCTGGTCCCGTATGTACTCATGGCCCCACATATTCGATTGAATGACCAGCAGCTAGCTATTCAAATCGCAATAAGAAATGGTTTGTTGTTTTTTTCCAAGCCAAGCAGCGTGGGATTTCTCAAAAATTGTGTTGACAGTTTGAACAACCCTCTCCTTTCCCTTTTCACTCTGCGATGCCATCAAAAGAGTTGGTGAACAAAAGCAGCTCCACCATGACTCACATGCGGTGTCTGTGAGGTTAAGGGATGACTTCATCTCACACCAAAAGGTAAAAATAGACAACAACACCAGGCCTTCTGATTGGTTAACGAGGCACAAAGGGGGGTTGATGGATTGTGATTGGGTAACGAGGCTTTGAGTTCCTATTGCTATAATGAATGGGTCTATCCCCATTATAACTTTGTCTAATGGGATGGAAACAATACTGTAAATATTTCACATCAACCAAATGGGAGCACAACAAACAATTATTTTGAAAATAGATTCATCCAGCTATTATTCCTTCGATTCATTCATTTAGAACACTGATATGTGATATTTATTTGATGCAGAAAACGTTAAAAATAAAAGCTGCTGGAGGACATTCAGATATTATTTCCAAACAAACCACTTTTCAAACTATGTAGAACTGTTTAATTTGTATTTAAAAAACTGTATTAATTGTGATTGGGTCTGGGCAGTATATCAAATGTATTTAAGTGATCAGCCTTTTAAATTGAAGATGCGAGAAATGTCAAAATCATGAAAATCGAGCTCATGATAATGTGTGTGTATGTGTGGAAGTATAAATACTTTAGAACATACAGATGTGTTAAATTTATCACATTACCAACCAGGAAAAATGTTAGAACTGATCAACTTTTGGTGATCTTTTTACTCTAACCGTTCATATCCTCTTTCATACTATTAACACATGAACATGTAGAACTATACATATTATTTACTGTACTTTGTAATGTTTGTATCTTCTAGTCGTTGCCATGGTGCTGTGAATTGTCTCAGAGCCTCTAATGTGTTGTAGATAAAGTCACTGGAACTGCTGCCTGATTTCAAGCTGTTATTTTCAGTGAGACGCCACAGAGAAGCAGATGGATAATGGTCTTCAAAGAGGCTTGCAAACACAGAGGTAAGGCCAAATAGAACAAACGTAGAAAAGATGACAAAATAATGCTCTAATGTAGTGTATCAAGGATTTTGAAATATGGTTTAATCACTATCTAAGCTCCTCTGTCTTCAAACTGCCTCAATGCACTTTCCTGAGCACACTCCTCAACGACAAAGTAGTTAGTATTAAAACAAGGTCAAAGTTGTTTTGGTTTAGGTGTTTCACATTTAGTTTCTGACCAAACCTCAAATACCAGCACCAACAACATCTGGTGTTTGGTATTGGATCCTTCTTGATATGATGAAGCCAGAAATGTCCTGACTTAAATCACGACTTGAAACTTTGGACCTATTTCAACCCTGGGTAGAGGTTCACAAAAGGTGTTTACAATTTCTAAATTTACAAAAATTCAGAAGTCCATTATTTCAAAACAAATGGCCAGCAGGAGACTCCATCACCAAGAGGACTGGGTTATCTGGGGGAAACACACTTACAATGTAAAACCTCATTAACAAGTGACATATGCCAAGCCTTTATGTGTCTTAATTTAGATGATGATGGTTTACAGTACATTTTCTATATATTTGATGTTTTGTTTATTGTTTATCATTATAAGCTGTGAGCCAATCATCAACATTATAACAAATTGTCCATTATTCAACACTGATTATCTGTAAACCAGGCATGACCAAACTATGGTGTCATGTTATGTAGCCCTCTGCCTTGCAACACAAAGTAGCCATTGAGGCACTTTCACAGTGTCAATAATCCAGATTTACCAAACTACAACAGAGACTGATTTTTAGATTTTTGGGACATATCCAATCCCAGGTTTTAATCCGTTACTGAAGCTAA